TAATAAGCATTTATTGTTTTTGATAATTACAATTTTCCCCTTAATACATCCTAATATAATATATGTCATTAGTATATTATTTTCACCCTCTACCCTCTTCCTCCATTTCCATACCCTCGGCCCAATCCTCCCCTCATCCATTTTTAATGCAAAAAGCCGTTTTGAAAAATCACTTTCAGTTCTTGAAAAATAAATTTTTGAAATGATCAACAATTTTTTCGAATTTTGCAATTTTCGCCGATTAAGTTTTAAAAATTCGTATAAAATCCAGTTTTTGGAATATGAGTATGAAAATTTCCCAAAGTGTTAATAAAAGTGTCTTCTTTCAAATGAACCAACCCGTATCCTTGTGGAAATATCACCAATATTAATTAAAGTATCCTCTTTTTAGAGTTGCTTCGTTAGTTAAATCAGCATCAAGAAAGTTCATTTTGTATCTTGGATCCAAATAAGTTGACATAACGCAATAATGTGGCAATGTAGGGTATCACTTCAGAAATGCACCAGATATTATAACCATAATGGCCGGATAGATATGGCGGATACCGGATATCCGGCCGAAAGAGTTGCTGAATATTCGGTATCCGGCTTTTCGCAAAATCATTATCCGTTCCATCACTAGTCATAAGTATTAAGTGAATAATTTTAATTTTATTTAAGGAAATGGTGTGCAGATTCCTCATCGAGAACGAAAGCGATGCCCCATATTAAAACTTACTGCAGAATATCACCGTGTAAATCAAAATTGGCTTGGTTTTTATTAACGAGTTCAAATATATCGAGGGCTGGTTGGGGTTCTGGTATCGGAAAAGATGAGGGTGTTTGTGTGAGATCGTATGAAGCTGGGGTTATGTTTTTCCCCAGTTTTTTCAACCAGGAATACTTTGAATTAATTAACGGCGAAAATAACGCCACATTTCCATTTATGTATGATACGGTGCTAAAGAATTATGCTCCCGATGACTATCCGTGGACTGATTAAGTGGTTTTTAAGGTTGTAATATTTAAGTTTTATACTTTAATAAAGTTTTTAATATCAATTTAAGTTTGTTTATTGAAATTATGAATCTATGAACAATTTAAACGTAATTTAACGTTCACCGGATTCGTTCTGCGTTCACGCCACAAATAGAATGAAGAAGTTGAGAGCGAGAATAGCAATAGTCCACCAGGAGCGAAACCGGTAAGTCGTGTATTTCCCAAAGTAACTAAATCAATCAAGAAAGAATCCCATTTCTTCTTATTTGACTCTGCTACGTTAAGAAAGAGGTGAGTATCCTTTTGTATTAAATTTTTTAACTAAAAAGATTTGTTTTAAAGTTTATCAAATAAAATAAAATCAATTACATCATGTTATTTTCGTTTGGTGCAAGATTCGCTTTCACTTTTAACTGGAAATAAAATGCACATTCTCGAAAATGATTTCCTCATTTCATTAAAAATCGTTCTTTTTGTAAAAGTTAAATAAAATAATATTTCCACTTTATTTAATGATTCATCGCAATGATTGTTCCTCATTAATTTATTCTCAATGACAATATTAGATTAACTTACGCATTAACTTTCAAGTTAAAGGATACAAATTAAAATCGTGAAGGTCGGAAATAACATTATTTTAATTCTTTTTGTTCTAGAAAATCTCGAAATGATTAAATCAATCGCGTTTATGGTCATTTTAGGGGTTACTTTAGCTGTACCGGCTAACGACAACGTCCTTGATAAGGTTTTTGCTTAATTTTTATTACATTTTTATTCATAAATTGAGAATAATTTATTTCTAGGCTACCGCTAATGATGTTTACGCAAACTCTGTGCATCCGAACGATTTTCCGAAGGTTGAAAACGAGGAAAAAAGGGAAACTCAAACCGTTGTAACCGAAACGGAAAAAAATCCTCATCCGGCAACCGCTTTTGGAAGATTAATCGATGACATATTCAACGTAATTTTTAATTTATCTTTTTTAGTAACGTTTATAATAATACAATTGATTTTAGATTCCAATAACTGTTTTGCAATCGGTGGCGAAATTGCTTCAAAATCCGTTTAAATCGGCCAAATCTCCGGAGGATTCCACAAAATATTAAATAACCTTAAAAGAAATATAATTAATTACTTTTTTATTATACGTACTTTTTTAAATGTATTTTGTGATATTAACATTTCTTTTTGTTTAATAAAATTGAACTAAATTTAATTAATTATTTAATTATTAAGCTTTGTAGCTCCATCTAGCGATTAAACCATTTTAATTTAAAGTTTTAGTGGGTAATGTAGAAATCGTTTCATATTAATTAAATAATTTAATTAATTATTGATTGAGGGATAAATTAAAAGCTAATTTTTCGATAAAATTTGTTGTTGAGGACAAAAACATGCAATCAAGGTGTTAATTCAACTCAAAAACTTTCTTTTCCCCTGAATTCGTTAATATTCAATAATCGTTTGATTTCTTTTTCCTTGCATATTGCAATAACACGATACCTTTAAGCAATACCTTTTAACCATAGTGGGGTAACCAGATAAGTTTGAAAGCGAAAGCGAAGTCCAATCGGCCTTGTTCTTTTGGTTTAATTCAACGTTGACCGTTCAATATTCACCACGAATTGCAATTTTTTTGAGTTCGCCAAATTAAGGTCTAAATTTTGATTAAAAAAGTTTTGAATTATTATTTAGCAAGTAAAATACGAGGTTGAATCAAATTATTTGATTTTAAAATGTGAAGTGAGGTTTAAAGTTACCAAAAAAATATTTTTGTAAAGAAATAAAAGGTGAGTTTTAAATTTTGAGTGCAAGAACCTTTTCGAAAGGAAAAACTGACCGAGTTAAGCTCGTCTAGTTACATCACTGTAAACATCGGCTGGTGTAAAACAACCTTGACATTCATTCAGAGAAAGTTATATAATTTCAAAATTTGGTAACATCTTAAAGAGATTGAATTTAGAATAAAAACAAAATGGAATTATTGTTATTATCGTTATTTTTTATTACTATTTGTAACTCTAAACCAATTACAAACGAAGAAATCTTCGCTAATGATAAAATACTAACCAACATTATTAAAGTAAGTCTATATCATTAAAAAATTACAAAATTACAATTAATTCCTTTTAGCCTAAAGGTTATTACCCAGATTTTAAACAATACGGTCGAGAACAGGCGGTTTTAGAACATGAACACTGGATAAGTAAAATTGATTCAATGTATAACAGAGCCCAAAAGAAAGCTGCTGATTTCTTAAATTTAAAACCAATCGTTGATACGATTGAGGAACACGAAAAATATGGAAACGATGGTGAGCAACATCGTGGAATTGCAAAAGCTTTGGTTCATGGTTTCGATGGTCTTGGTAAAAAAGTTAATGATGTCGTCGATTTACCCTTTAAAGCTAGAGATTATGTTGGTAAAACGATAAATGCAGCTTTAGATGCTGTTGGGTCAAAACTAGTCGGTATTTAAGTTATTTCTAATAAAATAGATTTAATTAAAAAAATATTTGAAGTTTAAATTGACAAATAAAATGTATGCAACCAACTTTACACCTTTCGATCTAATCTGAAATTCATTATTATCGTCTAAAACTACATTAAATGTATCCCATGAGAATTAGTACGATCAATAATACCATCGAATTCATTCATTATCACATCCATCGTATAATCAACACAATATTACTAACTTTTCACACAAGTTTTCCTAATAAACAACAATTTTTGTTGCTTTTATCTACCCAGACTATCTCTTTTATACCGTGAAATCTTTTTGGTTGGAAAAGGTGACGTCCTTATGATAACTCTGAGTTTTTGTCTTGAGAGCCGCACGGCTAAATCCGAATGTTTCTAGTTCTAGGACTAGTATTAGTTTTCATGCTGGAACTAAAACTAGAATTAACACTAGACCTAGAACTAGATTGAGCTATAACGGACATTGCGTTTCTCGTATTGATCCGTTATATCCAGGTTTTACTGTAATGGTAAATTACATATATTGACATTAAGTCTCTCATTTAGAGGCAAAATGGTCAATAAAACTTTGATAAATAAAGTAATTTTTATAAGAAAAACTACGTATAATATGATGTATAAAAACCTTGATAAAATCATCAAATATTGCCTTGTAATGGTAAGAATTACTTTCTTATCTATTTGATATTTACAACCTTTCCAATACCCTTACATTCCTCAATCACATGGTAAATCATTGACTTCCTATTTCTATTATGAGCTACTATTCATTCGATTCATATTTAATTCTTAGAACAACTAATTTTACTTAATTAAATTGAAACAAAATGTTTAGAACTTATATTGTTGGGGTTTTGGTAACATAGACTCACACAACCTAAAAATTAAAAATAAATTTTGAGGTTACTATAACATAACCTTAAAATTGATTTTAAATAAAATTTGAGGTTATGTTATAAATTGAAATGAATTAAAAACTAAAAAATTTATTCTTAAAAATATAAAACTTAAAATAATTATCACATATAAAAAGAAATTAAAATATATTCTTAATTCCAACTAAAACTTAACCCCAAAAATTTGTTTGAAATTTACTCATCCATCTCATCGTTTGAATTTTCAGAGACAAACAATAAATTTTTTAAAGAATTATATAAGCTTTCTTCGCTTTCTTGCCTCTTTAACATTCTTTCGATAACAACTTTTCCTGAAACGCTTTTTTCATCAATATCTTCATGATCATCATCGGAATCGATAACTTCAACTTCTTTGTGTTCTTTGTTTAAAACGATTACTGTTGGATATTCGATAATAACTTTTCCTTTCAAATTTTCTTTAATACTTTCGTTTAAATCTAACTCGTAGAATTTATTTCCAGGTTTTTGTTCGGCTCGTAAATAAACTTTGATATTACTCATCCCTAAGGATTGATAATATTGGAGTTTTTCTTGTAAAATTAAATTGTCTTGTTTCACAAAATACTTTTGTAAGATGTTTGATAATTTTTCCGTTTCGCGAACTTTTTCATCCACTAATTTTAGGTTATTTGAGTTAGGAAAAATCCAATCTATTCTCCAGAAAATTGTGTCTTTCGCGTAGTTTAATCGCGTTGTGTTTTGCTTGTGCCTTACGAAATTAGGGGGTAAAAATTTTAAGGTTATTTGTCTTCTTTGAGCCCCATTTTTTAATTTATATAAATGCTAAAAAATATAAAATTAATTTTTAATTAATACAAAAAAAATTTTTTTACATGTGGCAAAACTATATTTCTTTGCAAAAATCTTCGCGTTTTATCTTTTTTATAACCCTCTAAAGACCGACTAATTTCCTCCAATAAACGATAATCATTCGCTAAATCTAAATCAGAGAATTTATTCAATGGAATAAATTTAGTCCGATCTCTAGAACCATCGCATTCTAATTCTTTTTTATGGATATTCGCACATTTTAAGGAACAAGTTTTTACTTCACATCTTGGGCAAGTATATTTCGCCTCAATTATTGAGCAAACTTCGCAATTTCCGAGTTTGCTACTCCCGGTTGATGTTGAAGGAAGACATTCTAACCTAAAAAATAATTTTTAATCATTAATAAATTATTTTAATTAACTTTCTCTTACTGTTCTCGGTTAGTACCATGGGAAATATCTATTTCCATTGTAAATTATTATTTTAAATTGATTCTATTTGAATTAAGTAATTAATTCTTGATAAAAAGCACGTGGTCAGAGGTGCCAAAACAAATCGAATAAAATTCCCTAAATTTTCTTTTTTAATATATTTATTTTATAAATAATTAATTTATATTTTAAAACTTAAATCAATTAATTTTCTTTTTATTACTTATTTCAACTAATTTTTATAAGCAAATAATTAAAAAAAGAGTTTAATCCCCAAAAAAAATTTAGGTTGCCCCTATTTTGACAGATGTCAGCGTCAATTTTTTTTCAATTTTTACCAAAAAAAAATTTTAAAAATAAACGGTGAGTTTTAAATTTTGAGTGCAAGAATCGTTTCGAAAGGAAAAACTGACCGAGTTAAGCTCGTTATATCATTTTATATCACTGGAAACATCGGCTAATGCAAAATAGCCTTGACATTCATTCCGAGAAAGTTGTATAATTTCAAAATTTGGTAACATCTTAAAGAGATTGAATTTAGAATAAAAACAAAATGGAATTATTGTTATTATCGTTATTTTTTATTACTATTTGTAACTCTAAACCAATTACAAATGAAGAAATCTTCGCTAATGATAAAATACTAACTAACATTATTAAAGTAAGTCTATACTATTGAAAAAATTACAAAATTAGAATTAAATCCTTTTAGCCTAAAAGTTATTATCCAGATTTTGCGGTCGAGAACAGGCAGTTTTAGAACATGAACATTGGATAAGTAAAATTGTTTCAATATATAACAGAGCTCAAAAGAAAGCTGCTGACCTCTTAAATTTAAAACTAATCGTTGATCAAATCGGGATTTAAGTTATATCTCATAAAATAGATTTAAATAAAAAAAAATTATTTGAAGTTTAATTTGACAAATAAAATATATGCAACCAACTTTACTTTTCACAAGATTTTTGCAAATTTTTTACATCTTAAATCATTTTAATCTGAAATTCATTATCATCGTCTAAATGTATCCCATCAGTATTAATACTAATAGGTTCCATCAATAATACATTCCATCATTCATTATCACATCCATTGTATAACCAACACAATATTACCAACTTTTCACACAATGTTTTCCTTTATCTACCCAGACTATCTCTGTTATTCCGGGAATTTCATATCACTTGCTGAAGACGCACGATTTAACCCGAAACTTTCTAGTTCTAGTGTTAGTTCTAGTTTTATACTAGCATTGTTACTATGTAGAACTAACACTATACCTAGAACTTGAATCACTTGGGTTTAGCCGCACGTCGTTAAAGACGGCTTTAATTTTAATTTTTCTTACTGTTCTCGATTAGTACAATGAGAAATATCTATTTCCATTATAAAGGATTATTTTAAATTGATTTTTTTTGAATATTTTTAATAAAAAGCACGTGGTCAGAGGTGCCAAAACAAATCGAATAAAATTCCCTAAATTTTTTTTAATAATTTTGTTTTATATATAAATAATTTATATTTTAAAACTTAAATCAATTAATTTTGTTTCTATTACACATTTCAACTAATTTTTATAAGCAAATAATTAAAAAAAAAAGAGTTAAAGGAGAAAATATTTGGGTTGCCCCTATTTTGACAGATGTCAGTGTCAACTTAAACTTTCTTAGGTTATGTTAACATTAATATTTTTTCAATATGAGTGATTCCAACGAAAGGGGAAAATTTTATAATAAAAAGCGTTATCCCAATCACAGAGTAAGTTTTTTTAATGAATAAATTTAATGATTAACGATTTAATTTTGTAGCAATCGGAAAATAATGCCTTCGGGAGTCGATGTTTCAACAGTAAAAACATTTACAAGCCGGATAAGGATTTTTCGAAAGATTCCGATAAAGGAGAAGCCAAACCTAAAAGTATAAAGCAACCTACGCTTCTATTAAAAGCGCCTGAACGTGCCGAAGAGCGCTCAGCCTCTCCTAAACAAAAAGATGACGCAAAAAGTGATCCCTCGCAAATAACCATTGTCACTAATACTTCGCACGAACGTATTTAATAACAATAATTAGTTAAAATTTATTAATTTACTGTTTTCTCCTTTAGATGCGTCCCACACGATAATAAAATCAATGTCGAAAAGCATAAAATTACTCGAAGATGGGAATTTATTATCAGAAAACATTCAAGATTATCTCTTAGAAAACAACGATTTTTTAGTTGTTGGGTTCATTGGTAAACAAGGAGTGGGAAAATCGACAATTTTAAATTTATTAACTTCGGACGCCGTTTGCGAAGAATTTAAACAGTTTATATTTCAAACTCCTAAAAGTAAAGATGAAGACAATTTAGAGAGTAACATTAAAATCCTCACTGAAGCTTTTCAAAGCGGATTTAAACCGTTTAATGAGCAAAAAGATAATTTTAAGGCTATTTTTCATCAACAACAAATCGAACATGTTGATGGAAATTTGCACACAACGTCTGGAATCGATATTTTCATAACAAAAAATCGTATGATTTTACTCGATTGTCAGCCGGTTCTATCTTGTTCGATCCTTGATGAGTTAATGCGTTGCGAGAGTAAACGTGCGAATGTTATTAGCGAGTTTTCGCCCCTTGAAAATAGCGGGGAGATTCAAGGGCTTCAATTAACGGCTTTTTTAATGAGCGTTTGTCATGTTTTGGTCGCTGTTAACGATTGGTTTTTTGATACTAACTTTATTAGGTAATAAATATTAAAACGAACTGGGATGATTAACAATTTATATTTTATTTGATTAGATTTTTACAAACAGCTGAAATGTTAAAACCGACAATTTCAAATCCGGATGAAGATTTTGTTGATTATTTTCCACATTTGGTTTTGCTTCAAAACAAGGCTCAAATGGAGGATTTTACTCCTGCGAGATTTAAACAGATGCAAAAGGTAATAATAAATCGATTTAAAATTAAATAAAAATAATTAAGGATGTTTTAGGTCTACAAAAACGTCTTTAGCACCACTAAAATGCATTTGGAATCGGGTTTGGGGATTGGAAATGGAAGGATTATGAATACTTTGTGCGCAGAAAGTTCAGAGGCACCTATTAATTTGTTTTTATTGCCTGAATATAACGAAAAAACGGGTAAATTTGATTAAACTATTTTTAATTAATAACTTTGGTAGCGCCCTCTCTTGTTATAATAATTAAGGAAAAATTCAAGAATTATCATGTGGCTTAAAAATCGACGATTTCTTTTTTTAATCAATGTGAAATCACCCAAAAAACACGTTACATGTAAAAAGAAAGTACGGAAATGTGTAGAACCTACCGAAAAATCACTTTAAAGTTTCGATGTGACGTCACGTTTTGTGACGTCACAAGCCATGCTCTCATATTAAACCGGTCAACACCTAACCTACAAATGGAGATGTTACACATTTTTTTATTGGCTTTTTCGCTAGTTTAGCAAAATTGAAGACTTTTATAGTTTACGTTTCATAAAATTGATATTTAATTTTGACAAATAGTTGTGAAGTTGGTTACAGTTGGTAACATTGAATATGTGTCACATTGACGTTTAAACTTTATTCAAAAATTTATTTAAAAAAATTAATTTATGGAATCAATTTCAATAATAGTCGTGGACAAATATTTTATTATTATTATAATTATTGCCCCATTATTTATTTTATAGCCACGCACAAAATCTATAAACTAGGTGAGTTTACGACGTATATTTACGGATTAAACACCTTGTTTTACTTAGACTTTCGATGCATAACGATTGACTACCTGTTGTTAGATAAACTGTGTGTCAATAAAGTCTGTATTAATACAAGAACTAACACTAGACCGAAAACTAGAAACATTCGGATTTAGTCGCACGTCTCTCAAGACGGCTAAACCGGTTTCTAGTTTTCGGTCTAGTGTTAGTTCTAGTTTTGCACTAAAACTAAGACAAGACCTAGAACTAGAATCATTCAGGTTTAGCCGTTTTGAGAGACGTGTGGATAAACCCGAATATCACAAAAAGTGTCATCACGTCGAAACTTTAAAGTGATAATGAAAGTTTTACACTTTTCCGCACTTTTTTTTTATTGATAACGACTTAAACGACATGATGATTCTTGAATTATACCATAATTAATTAAATTAACTTAACCTTAAATTTTTCTTTTCTTTTTCAGAAGGAATTTTTAAAGGACACCCACCACTAGAAGAATTAATAAGTAAATTAAGAGCTGGTTTAATGAGTTCAACAAAATATCCTTTAACCCACGTTCAATTATCCGAAAAGAATTGGTTGGTTTATAGTGCGAAAGTTTGGGATCACGTGAAAAAGAGTTCGTTTTTTGTCGAGTACAGTAAATTAATGCCATAAAAGAAAAGTTTAAAGAAAAACTGTAGCGAGCAACGATCTCTTCCTCGCGTGTACCGGTTTGTACGAGTGTTGGTAAACGGAGGCGAGCCTCCAATGGTCGGGATACTCGTGACGTTTGCCAGTCTGGAAAGAAAAAGGTGGCGCTAAGCTGGTTATTGTATAACCGGTTTTTTTATATGGATCCGGTGGTCGTTTTACTTGGAAAATTTTTAATTTCTTTTCTTTATTAGTCACACTTACGTTAATTTTATTGTTGTTCGGAACGCCCGCTTTGAATGCCATTTTAAATTCCGTTTTCTTAGTATAATTTGGTTTAATATTTTTTAATTCGCAAGCGACGCATAATCTTCCATTTGGACGAAGTTCTTTCATCCTCAAACAACTCGGACAAGAAGAAGAACATGAAAAAGTCGACGTTGATTTTAAATCCGGGGTACTTTTGTGTCTCCGAAAATCATAAACAGTTTTCGGACGTTCGTTACGTTGAAGTGTTTTAAAATTTAGATTTTGCGAACAATTACAATCTTTGTTTTGAATTATTTCAATGTTTTCTTTTGGGGTATGTACCGATGTAAAAATTGCGGGGGCTTGCGACCCATTTGACCCATCAATGTGAACTGTGCGTTTAGGTTCATCATGGGGATTAATTGGGGTCATATCCCAACAGATTGCTAGTTCGATTGGAGTCACTTTTTGGCGGCGAATAAATCTCCATTTTTTATCGAAACTGTTTGCTGTGTTTGGTCGTTTATTTTGGGGGAAATTTTCGCAAGTTTTTGGGCGATACACTTTTAATTTTGTGCAACGAGTTGCTCCATAACCTGGATAACCTTTCCAACCGACTCCAGTCGCAAAATTCCCATCTTTTAGCATTAACCCCGGTTCTCCCCCCATCATTTGGGCCTTCCTATACATTGCATCTGTTACTGTATCAGGTAAAGGTTTATGTTCCAAGTTTTCTTTATGAAGCTTTTTAGCAAAAACAAAGTTTTTAGCCGCTGCTAAATAAGGTGATATCTTTTTTAGTTTTTCTTTTGAAGCAGTTTCATTAATTCTTTCTGTTTTATTAATACGAGACATTTCTTTCATAAATTCATCAACAGCCTGTTTACTATTAATAGGTTTATCAATCGGGGGTGATAAAAAATCTTCTCTGTACTTCGGATAACCTTTAGCTGGGTTTTCCTTGATGTGTTCATCGAAGATTTCTAACACTAATTCTTGGTGGCTTGGGTGCCGATATTTAAAATCTGTTAATTGTCCTGGGATGTATTTATGTTTATTTATACGAGGTGAATTGCTTTCAAAAACTGTATCCATTTCCTAATTAAAAAATTTAAAATTAATAAAATAAAAATAAATTAAAGAAACATAAATGTGCTTTATTTCAATTTTATTCATAATTTTAATAAATCCCGTTTATAAAATGTTTTAAGGAACATCGTGGATAGGGCAAAGGGTGTGCTGAAAAAAATCAAAATAATAAAACTTTAAAACATTGTTAATTATTACCTCAATTTCTGGGGGAGCTTCCTCAACTATTTCCCCATCTGTGACAACCAAAACCTCAACCTTTTCTTCCGCTGGGTGGCAAGGGCATGTTTTAATATCTCGTTTTTCCTCACTTTTTGGAACCTCCTCTTTAACTGGTTCTTGTTTAACACCTAAAGCTGCTTCTCGCTGCCTCTTTTTCTCTTCTAAAGCTTTTTGTCTCTTCAACGCCTCTAATTTAGCTTCGGTTTCTTTGCTCTTTTTCGAACGCGATGTTATCTCAGGAATTGGGGGAGGTGGGCAGTGAGATCTTTCACAATGTTTTCTCCACTTTTGAATTTTATCCAAAGGAGGTGCGCTTAAACGAAACGCTTAAAAAGACATCGGTATCACTTACGATAACGTTTATAAACAAATTAATACCTAATTCTCTTGAAATTTTTTTCGGTAAATCCCATGTACCGACAAAATTACCCCAAGGGCTTGTGTAAGACCTTGGCACTCCGGGTAAAAGATGTCCCTTCTCGTTCGAAACGACTCTAGTTTTTCCTTTATGGCCGCAAGGACGCTCTGGATGCCAACGCGGAATTTCCCAGTTTCTTAACCTGGACGCTTTGTATTCTTCGTCGAACTGGAAAAAAAGGGTGCGGAAGCGGACGTCGATCGTTGACGACGAGACAAGGGGGCGACGGGTACCGCTTTTTAGTCCTATTGTCGTGTTGTGATGGTGCCGCGTGCTTTATTGGTTAAATTACTATTTGCGGGTCACGGACAAATAATATCCAAGAAATTTATATAAGCTAAAACGCTATCGTAAATGTTTCGCAATCAATTTTAATGACATTCTTTAAAAGCTTTACATAAATTAACTATGATATTTATACGCTAGGATAAATTAAATTGCTAATAAAACTTGAAAAATCATTTTTAATTAGTACTCGCTTTAAATTGTTAATTAACGAATATTAAATCAAAATAATTTTGACAGTTAACATGACATTTATCTTTAAAATTTATCTTAATTTTTTTTCAATGTTAATGGTTTAAAATATGTTTGAAAATTCGTCGATTTATTCCTCAATTTTAGTTAATAAATAATTAATTTGAAGTTGGAATAATAAAAACTTGATAATTAATTTAAACTTATTTAGTTAATATTAATTATTCTTAGATGGCACTGTACAAATGTCAAAAAAGCGAAAATTAAACTCAATTTCTTTTTCAATATTAATTATGTACAATAAAATTTTTCAAAATCCGTTTTAATTCGTCAATTAAGATAATAAATTTTAACCTGGAATAAGAAACATAATAAAAATTGATATTTAGTTTAAATAAGTTTAAACTAATTAATATTAACGTCTCATAGATGGCACTGTACAAATTTCAAAAAAACGACACTTAATTTTTTTTTTTCAATTTTAATGATTTAAACTATTTTTTTTTTTAATTCTTTTTAATTTGTCAATTTAAGTTAATAAATAATGAATTTAAAGCAGGAATAATAATAATTTGTTAATTAATTTAAACTTATTTAGTTAATATTAATGATTCTTATCGTTAGATGGCACAGTGCAAATGTCAAAAAGCAAGCGAAAATTAAACTTATTTCTTTTGTCAATATTAAATGATTTAAACTATAGTTTTTGAAAATTCTTTTCAATTCGTCAATTTAATTTAATAAAATATAAAATTTTAAACTAAAACAATAATAATTAGATAATTAATTTCATTTTTAGTTAATATTAATGATTCTTAGATGGCACTGCGTAAATGTCAAACTGACATTTCAAATAACCTATTACACTCAATCAAACAAATTGAAACTCTTTGGAAATGTATCCCACCAGATAATTTAAATGAAGATGCTTCGCCCCATTGGAAAGTCCCTATTCGAAAGTATTCGACTAATTGTGCACGCGACTAAAACGACCCTTTATCGGGGGAACCAGTAACTCGGCTTGTTAACTGTCCGGATGGTGTTAAAAGTATTACACGGTTATGATTTGTAGCCCCCGATTTACCCTAGGGACGAGAACAGGTGTCCACTCCGAATAGTTTAAGCCCCTTCAATGAAACATAGAGACACTTGTGTATTAGAGGGGGTGAGATAGAATCGAACAGACGGTTTGAGGGCGTTAAAAAATTGTTTTGTGTAAATACTGGATTAATAGCTCAAAAGCTCTTCGCAAATTGGGGTAAAAAGTAACAAGTGTAACATATGGGATACTAAAATAATGATTAATTAAGGAAAAAAATGTAAAATAAGAAAATAGAAATAAAAGGGGTTGAATGTTAAAATGTTTTGTGCATTGAAGGGGTGTTTTTTTAAATGTACATCTGCGGTTTAATATCAGGGACAGTTTAATAATGGGGAAATGATCAACATTTAAATGAGGGCGGGTTGACGTTTCCTTTTTTTGTTGATTGATTGGAAACTTGGTGGTTGACAGAAATTTGTATTTGGGGGTTCTTAAATTAAAGGAAAGGATTGGTGAAGTGCTGAATTAAAAAATATACTCATAATATAGTATATTTTAAAATTTCTGGATTAAGTGACACTAATTTTTATTAATTAAAAAAAATTACCTTGAATATACAAAAGATTTTGATTATCTGAACTATATCTGAAATAAACAAAAAAATCTTTTGATTTACGACTTTAAACTGTAAACGATTTTATCAACGCCTTATTTAAAACTTTACCCATTCACTCCAAACCGTTATTTTTAGATATTTAAAGAAATCGATTTCCCACCAAATCGAAACCTTTTATAAATCAAGATTTTTTGTGTTCACCTTAAGAAAGAAAATTTAATATAAAAAACTTACTTGGTATGCTGTAAAATTCATCGACATCTTTACAAATTTTGATTTAATTTCTTTTTTAAACAAAAAAAATTGTATTTTTACGAAATCGTCGCGAAATCGGAATTAAGATTGAAAATAAACGCGAAACCATCCGTCAACTGGACGGGTTGTTGCATGGAAACCATGGATTTTACCATGACTACCTAACACTTATTGTACCAAGTTTTAAATCGATTTTCAAAGAAATAGGACAAAATTTTATTAACAAAATTCATTATCATAATTATAAATGTAGCACCGCCTACAACTTCTTGTGGAGTAACACCTCTTCACAATGGACTTATTGATTTTGGGGCGGTCCAACATCATCCCTAAAATACCATTGGCGTTCGTAGGGATGCTGTGGACCATCCCCTTTGCAAGAGATCCTATTCCCGGCAAATCTCTCCCCGTTATACGATTGAAATCGTTCAGAACGGTTGTCGACGGTGGTAATATTGTGTTGTTATAGTGGTCAAATAGAAGAAATAAACTGATTTTTATGGTGAGTTTTTATATTTATTTGGTGGAGGCGCCGGAACATACTTTAATAATCCAAATTATAACAAAAAAAGTTTTTTTTATAAGTAATAAATAATTTTTTTGATTTAAACGTCATTAAATGACATAATTAGAATACTGTTTTATCGACTTCAATCAAAATGATACTTATCATTATTATTGAAAATATGCAATAAAAAAGGTGTTGATGTCTCAAAACTTTTTAAAAACTTAATATTGTTATGCAATTCGTTAATAATATCAATAAAATAGATTTTTCTTAATTTTTTGACAATGCATTTTGTAATGTAATTTTCGACACTGAGATGGCGCTTATATCAATTTTCAAAGTCCCTAAAACGAGTAATTAATAAATCAAGATATTTCAACAACTTTTTGGATATTTTTGAATTAAAATTTTGTCTCAACAAATATAATCAATGGGTGTGGTATTTAAACAATCTTAAAAATTGCATCATCTGTCAAATTGACCAAAAAAAGAAAGATTTTCCGTCTAAAAACACAGTAAATATTTGTTTTAGTTTGTTTTTACCTTATAGTTACGATGCGATATCCATTTTTCTCATTCTTCGTTATTATTTCTTTATTATTAATAACTTTATGAATTTCACACCTTTCGAATTACACTTGACAGCTTGAATGTTCTTTTTTGATTTTGAGGTTAGAATACGGTCAAAATATCTAATATAGTTTAGCCCAAAAACATTCAATACAATTAATTTTTTTTTAATTTATTTAAAAGTGTGTGAATTTGATAAATAAACATTTATGTGCCACATTGATTATGAGCGTATAACCAAACCTAAATAATTGGGCTAATAATATTTTCAATTAATTAAGATCAAAAAAAAATTAGGAATAATGACCACGCAATGACATTTAATGAAATAAATGTTAAAATATGCACTAAATAATATCTAAAATAATCTAAACCAAGATAATATTATTAATATCTTGTTAATAATAATGTGAAAATAACTCTGGAAAACCTGTATTATTAAATATCTTGAAAATGAGTTTGTTCTGGTAAAAATTCTTGAAGGAGGTACAAACTATTATAAATTTGGTATCTTTTTAAATATTTAAATACACTTTACAGAGTACTAAAATTAAATTTATCACTGATTTCTGAACGTGAAGTACAAATTGAGGTTCCTTTACCATGATAACCTTTTTTCGATGTCCTTCAAAGAACCCATCTCAAATAATCAACTTTAACAGCTTAATTTTGTCGAAAATAAGAAGAAATCCGAATATAGATGAACCTAATCGACTTTTTAAAGTAGGGATTAATCTGATACATTCGGAACGATTCGAAATAATTCGATAAAGGAAGAAAAACAACGTCTATTAACATACTTCCGTTTATGTAACAAAAGTCATCACAAACCCAAAAATAATTTAAAAATTTATTTATTTTGTTTAATTTGGCGCGAAAAATCAAGACAAACATCAATATTTACAGTTGAATTTAATCAAATTGATATTTTAGATTGTAAATTTAGTAATTAAGTTAGAAAATAGATGCAGTTTCTTTTCTTTTTGTACTACCTGTCAAATTGTTGTACAGTTGGTGAGATAAACAGGGAATTTTGTTACATTATGTTTTGAAATTAATTCGTCTCAAAACATCGTTATTTAAAAAAAATTCAGTTTTTGGTTTTTATATTTATATTATACAAATATTTAAAATAAAATGAAAACTTTACCAAAAATAATTTGAAAAACTATATAAATTTTATACAAACCCTAACTAATACCAACAAAAACCCTAAAAATTTGACGTTGAGAATAATAGAAAAAAAATTCTAATTAAAAATTGTTTTCTAGACGTAATTTGGCAATTGGACGTCAAATGAGGAAATGTAATAAATAAATGTGTAAAAAGTGAAACGTTGAAACTAAAATAAGAAATTTTATTATGAGCATCAAAAATAGATCCAAAAAAAATGTCGCTTATGACAGCTAAACGTCAAATTTGACATGAATATTAAAAATGATTAGAAATCATATACCGGGAATTTTATATAACTATAATAGCAATATATGAATGCACTAACCATAGTTACGAAACTATTAGGCACTTGCACGGTCCTACATAAAATGCAACATAGCTTAATAGTGACGTCCTTATGATAACACTGAGTTTTCGGCCGTCTTAAGAGGAACGGCTAAACCCGAATGTTTCTGTTCTAAGTCTAGTGTTAGTTCTAGTTTTACACTAGCACTATCACTAGAACTAACACAAGACCTAGAACTAGAATCATTCGAGTTTAGCCATCTTGAGAGACGTGCAGCTACATCTGAATGTTTATATTTCTCGGCCTTGTGTCCGAACATTCGGATTTAGCCCCACGTGTCTAAAGACGGCTAAACCAGGATGATTCTAGTTCTAGGTTTTGTGTTAGTTCTAGTGATAGTGCTAGTGTAAAACTAGAACTAGCACTAGACCTAGAATTAGAAAGTATCGTGCATCTGAAGACGCACGGCTAAACCCGAATGTTTCTAGTTCTAGTGTTAGTTCTAGTTTAATACAAATATGCAACATAGTGATATCTTATGTTAACTAGCGCTACTTATTGTTACTAGAATTTTGACCTAGAACAAGAAACATTCAGACATGTTGCATTTTATGTGGAACAAAGTAAGTAATATATTTTTGTATATTGCATTTCAGTTAAAATTCACTCTAATTTTGATGATTAATATTAATTAATTTGAGACAATAATCATGTATAATAATGATTTTAGTTTAGATATTAACTTTTAAAGCGAATATAAACGTGAAATTACATTAGAATGAAAATGTTAACATCAAATTTGACGTTTATCTTAATTTGAATAGTCTTACAATGTAAAAAATGATTTTGTTATATTATTGGAGGGTTGTGTTTACAAAAACGCGTATTTACAATACAATTTGCAATTTTCCGTGACGGGTGGTATAAAGAATTGCCGTTTCTAACACGTTCTCATCCCATTCGATCTCGTTTCGAATCCCAAGGGGACCATGCTCGAACGTACCACCAAGGGAAACACGTCGGACACGTGGCCTTAGTTAGCACCATCGAATTATGAACGATTGATCATCGAATTAACTTAACACGAAAATAATTCGATTTAGACTTACTTGCAATAATAAGACATTTTTATGATAAAAATAAATAAATAAAAATCGGTAAAAATGTAAATGTAGGTTTGAATTATTTAATAAGATGAGCCATAAATTCTTTTTCGATTTATTTTAGAATCGCAACCCTAAAGGAAGAGTCATAAAAAACTGATGAAACATGCTATGAATATGTCCGAAAACAGGGAGGTCCTGCAAACGATTACTTCTTGTGGAAATTTAGTTCAACAAAAACGACGGTAAAAAGAACTTTATAAACGATTCGATTCAAGGTTGTAAATACTTATTTGATGTTTGATAGAGATCGAAACTCTGAGATGAGTACGCTTTCGAGGGAAGAGCGCCGCAGGAGACGTCGTGCCACTCAAAAATATAGAACAGCTCACGCAACAAGGGAAAGAATCCGAGTCGAAGCTTTTAACGTTGCGTTTTCGGAGCTGAGAAAATTGTTACCAACTTTACCACCCGATAAGAAATTATCAAAAATTGAAATCCTCAGATTAGCTATTTGCTACATTGCTTATCTTAATCACGTCCTAGATGCTTAAATTAAATGTTGTTATTGAATTTATTTATTTTTTGTGATGAAATAAAATTTTTTTCGAAAAAAAAATGCATTTATTTGATTTTAACAAAATAATCTGCTCCCCGATTAGATAACAACTTCGTAACACGCATTTAAGTGATTAAATAAATAACTTTTTGAGTTATTTCCCCGAATAAGAATAAAAAGAGATCGAAAAGGAATCGAATCCCTCGGGAGATGAAAACGGAAGAACGCAGGTGGTTCACCTAAAGGGATGTTTAATTTTATCATTAGCTCCCTCAGTAACAGATGTTCCCCAATAAATAAATTTTCTGCTTTAAGACCCACTTTTACCACCTCTTGATAAATCTAATTCTTAGCCAATGTGAACGTTTAAAACCTAAATTTTCCTTTTCTTTATCGCAAAATAGTTCGGGAATGTTAATTGGATCGGTTTCAATTGAAACGAATCGATAAAACAACAAAAAGTTTATTGTTGTAACTTAATTAACGTTGTGTAGATACAGATAAAGTCAAATACTTCTTGTAAATACTCAAAAACAATATCACATATTTATCTACATAAAAAAATACTTCTAATAAGTACTTAAATTAATTTGGCTAATAAAAAAAATAAATTACACCTCCAATAACTTATCTTCATCATCATGCTTAGTAACCCGCTTATTAACCGGTGCATTACTCACCGGGTTTTGAGAATACAAATAAACCGCAATTAAAATAGTTATAATCGAGATAACCGTATTTAAATAAATTGGCACGTTTAAAAAAACGAACGTAAAAATTGCCACTAATACTAACTCCAAAGAACTTGCGAACACTTTTAAGATCGAATTTAAAGTTTTTAGGAAAAAACTTGTTATAATTCCAACGGTTGCGTTGTTCGCAACCACCAAAATCACTCCTAAATTAAGGGTTTGTTCTAAATTATGGGAACTTATCGCCGCTAAAAACTTTCCTTGCACCAATAGAATCCCGGCGTTACACAAAATAGAATCTAAATACATAAAAACGTTCTGTATAAAAATGTTTACATCGGCTCCCGCGGATTTTAATAAATGTTCGTTGTAAACCCCAGCAAAACAAGAACAAAGGATTTGTATGAAAATAAATAATAAACTCGAAATCGCAAAGGTGGTGAAAATCGATGATGAATTTGTCGCCGTCTTAAGGCCGCTATCGTTAAGATAATCAGCACCAAAACTAATTTGTTTAATAATACAACCTAAAGTTAAAAGAAGTAAAGATAACCACTGCTTTTTACTCAGCTTTTTCCGAAAAATTATCTAAAAAAAAATAATTTGAATAATTGACAGTTTAAACTGTCAAAATTGACAGATTAATCTGTCAAAATTGACAAAAATAGGTTAGAAACTTACTTGGAATAAAATCGCTGTAATAACAACCCTAAATTGGAGTAGAATGTTATAAGTGGTTGGATCAAATTGAGTTAAATTATGGAAAGCTAAATTATTATAAAGTGAATATAAAAACGCTGGGATAAGATACAAAGCCAATAATTTCCAATGTTCACATACTTCGAGGAAAAGAGAGCGAATATTATTACTAAAATAATAAAAATATTTATCAAAACAAAAAGGTTTCCCTCAAAACTTACTCTTTACAATACAAAATTGATGAAGCAATTAACTTTACGAATTCCGTTAAAAGTACAACGGTTGTAACGTCGTAATTGTATTTATTACCACTTTGCGAAGAGGTTACTATAACCCCTGCAAACAACAAGAACGTGGAATGATCAAAAATGATTAATCAAAACACTTACCTTGAATGGAAAACAGCAAGATATAGGAGGCGAATATTACGAAACTGACATTCGTCGGAAATAATTCCGACCAAGATATTTTACCCATTGTACACGATTTTACGTTACGCCCGGTAACGTTAACATTTAAACTAGTTGTGATATATTATCTTTACATCCCAGTTGAAACACCACAACAAAACCTCAAAATTAAACGTCAAAAACAGCACCATCTAGCGATACGAGTTTAAAATAAACTTATCCTTAAAAATTAATATAAATTTAGTAAAACTAACTTGTATAACCCTTAATATATTAAATATAATTTTAAAAATAACGCCTAAATCACGTTGAAATTAATTTAAAAAAAAATTGCATCTAAAAAACGCCATCTAATGACGTTGCGCTCAACTAAAATGCTTAAGTAAATTTGTAATTTTAATTATTTTAATAAATAAACAATTAAGAAATAAAACAATTAATATTTTATAATCGATATTTATTATTACATAACCACTAATCGAAATATTCTTTTATAACCCTTCAAAAATATTCACTTAAACATCGTAGCCTACAAGATGACGTTTTCCAATACATTCACCTACATAAAACCAACATAAAACTTCGACGGTAACAAGAGTATTCAACCAAGCCTCCCTAACCGGGGTTTGCTTCCATTTGCCATCTTTTGCACCACGAATAATTTTGGCAATTCCTTGACGAATAGCTGGGATATCACCAGGGCTCGGTGGGGCTAATTCAACACTGGCGTATTTAAGAAACGTTGCGAATTTAGGTTGTGCTTGAGCCATAAGTTCTATTTATTAAAAAGAAAAAAATTTAAGTGACAATTAAAAGTTAGGTTATGTTATGTAATAAGGTGTATAATCTTTAATAATTATTATAAATGATTAAATTGGTGGCGTGGTACTTACTACTGACTAGAGCTGGTGCCCCCGTTACTAATTTTGCCATTTTTTAAGCGATTTAAACGAATTTTGTGAAACGAACTGGAATTTGATCCAAGAGCCGAATGGTGAATTGATGCAAACTTCACTTCAATGAAACATTGATTATTAGAATTATGATAATTTTATTTAGGAAATTTGATTTTAAATTAATATTAAAACCAAAAATTAATATTAAGTTTTATTAAATCAATAAATATATTAATTTAAAAAAATTTCGCTTTGTAACAACTTCATATGAATTAATTGACATAACCTACAAAAAAGTTTTGAAATGGCCCCGAAAAAACCAAAAAATTTAGCGAGTGCTCCACCAAACACCGCTAATGTAGAAATTTCCCCGGAAGCGGCTCAACAATTTGAATTGGAATTGTGTTGGTGTATTCAACAATTACAGTCCGGTTTGAGGTTAGGAAAACTTAACCCCAAACAAGTACAGGATCATACAAAAACATTAAACACGTTGATGAGTAAAACGGCCCCTTTGGTGAAGAAACGGCAAGTGATGAGGATGGCTTTTGGCGATTATAGGACAAAAATGCTTGAGGAAGATAAAAAGAATGCCTCGGCGGTTGCTAAAGTAAAAGTTTCAAAAGTTGTTCCAAGTACTAAATCGGTTTTTGTGAAAAAATCAAATTTAAATTTTGTGCCATCTAATAATACGTTTAGATTTAATTTTAATAACGATTAATATAATAAAACACATTCTTTTTTTATGAATAAATATAATTTTGTTTTAATAAGTACAATTACGGGGTTTTATTTTATTTTTAAGATCGAATTTAAAGTTTTTAAGAAAAAACTTGTTATAATTGCAATGGTTGCGTTGTTCGCAACCACCAAAATCACTCCTAAATTAAGGGTTTATTCTAAATTATGGGAACTTATCGCCGCTAAAAACTTTCCTTGCACCAATAGAATCCCGGCATTGCATAAAATCGAATCTATATACATAAAAACGTTCTGTATAAAAATGTTTACATCAGCACCTGCGGATTTTAATAAATGTCCGTTATAAACCCCAGCAAAACAAGAACAAAGGATTTATATGAAAATAAATAATAAACTCGAAATCGCAAAGGTGGTGAAAATCGATGATTATTCTGTTGCGGTCTTAAGGCCGTTATCGTTAAGATAGTCAGCACCAAAACTAGTTTTTTACTCAGCTTTTTCCGAAAAATTATGTAAAAAAAAATAATTTGAATAATTGACAGTTTAAGATGTCAAAATTGACAGATTAATCTGTCAAAATTGACAGATTAATCTGTCAAAATTGACAAAAATAGGTTAGAAATTTACTTGGAATAAAATCGCTGTAGTAACAACCCTAAATTGAAGTAAAATGTTATAATAATATGAATGATCAAGTCTAGAAAGTTGTTCCCAGTATTAAAGCGGTTTTTGTAAAAAAATCAAATTTAAATTTTGTAATAATACTTAATAATACTTTCAGATTTAATTTTAATAATGATTAATATAATAAAACACATTCTTTTTTTATAAATAATATAATTTTGTTTTAATAAATGCAATTACGGGGTTTTATTTAATAGGAAAAAAGTTTAACAAAAAAAATGAACTATATTTGAAAACAATACAAATTTTCACAAGTCTTTAAAAAAAACATAACAGACACAAAATAAATGTTTATATATATTTTTTTGTTAAGTGGCAGTGTGCTATAACTCTTTACGTGGACTTTAAACCTTGGGGGCCAATCCCCAGTTTCGTTGAGACTTTGAGTTGGGACACCGCTGCATCTCTCAAAGAGAACAAATGGGTTAATTCCATTTCAGTTCTTGCTAATTCTATAGCTTTACCAAAATATTCTATTGCTATCACCAAATTACCTCTAAAATATGAAATAAAACAACCGTTTTATTAATAAAATATTAATTGATTAAATAAAATACCTTTGTACTTCGACAGTTCCTAAAGTTTCATAAGCAAATTCGCATTTTTCATCTACTTCTATAGCTTTTTTCATCAACTCAATTGATTGTTCGATATTTCCTTTCCATTGCAGTTGTAAAACTCCTCGGTGAACCAAAATCGTAGCATTTTTGGGTTCAACATCTTGCGCTTTCAAATACAATTTTTCCGCGTTATCAAAATCGCCTCGTTCGGCTAAAACTTGACCATAAAGAACGAAAGCTTCCGAACAACTCGGGAAACGCTCGGTAGCCTTTCGGAATCCCTCCAAAGTCTCCACCAATAAAGCCGCGTTTTGAGTCGCTAAAGCATAACGATAATTTGCATAACATTTTTGTACCACCGCAATCGGAAAATCAGGATTCAATTTCACAGCTTTCTCGAAATCAGATCTCGCCAAATCCGTTTGATCCGAAAGTAAATAAACTTGACCACGGTGATGGTAAATATCGGAAATATCCGGTCCTAACTCGGCGGCCAAACTAAAATCTTTAGTACATTGCTCCATATTATCCAATTGTAAATATAAAGATCCCCTTTTTATTAACGAATTTACTTTAATTCCCACTTCGATGCCATCCGTTTCTATGATTGTTTTTAAATCGATTAATGCCTCGTTGTGAGATCCGGATAAAATATTAAAAGTAGCTCTAAGTGATAACGCTTCGACGTAAAATTGTGATTCAGATTCGCTGTTTGCAATTTCCTCGGTACACGCTTGGATGATGTCGTCGTATTTCTCTGTGGCAAAAGCAATTTTTGCTCTTAAAAATCCTTGTACTTCATGTTCGCCTATTGGAGGTTCGGTTTCTAATAATTTTTTGTAAACGGGGTCGTTTGGAAATGAGGCGAAATAAGTTTTGATGAATTGGTGTGAAGCCAATTTTGGTTTTCTTACGCTAAAGGCTTTTGCAGCATGTATTTTTCCTAATTCTTTTAAAACACGATCAGCCATCAAAAGAGGTTTTTGATCTTGAAAGTTTTGCATTAAACACACCGCTGTAATATCATCTAAACAACTTTCCCAATCTTTTAAAACTTCATAAGCTCTTGCTCGGCGATTCAATGCTTTCTCGTATTTCTGGTTGTAATCTAACGCTGTTGTACAATCGACAATAACGGCGGTCCATTTTTTTAATTGCTCGTAAGCCGCCGCTCTGTTTTGATAAAACGTTGCTAGATCGGCTTTATTTTCTTCGGGACATGTTTCAATTGCCTTGTTATAACATTTAATAGCCTCATCGTATTTACCTTTTTTAAAGTAAGCGTTACCTTGGTTTTTGAACTCTTGCGCTTCTTCTAATGGGGTCGAAGGTTGTTGTACTGTTATCGGCTCTTCTTTGACATCGTCTATCGATATCGCCTTGTCACTACCTTTTAGCACCCCTTTAGATTTACCAGATGACTTGAAGTACCAATAACCTAACCCCAAAGCGCCGGTGGCACCCAACGCGATCGCCGCTATTTGCCATTTCGGCAAGGACGTCCCCGTTTCCGTACCCGACGAGGTCATAATTTCACTTCGAGTTTACTAATTCGGCATTTAATGATAAACCGGTCGCGGATTATATGAAATTTTCGTTCGTAGAAGAAGAGGTTAGAATCGTTGATGACGGCGAGTTTGCGAAGCTAATATGGCGACATGTTGTTGAAAATGGGTTTTTTTTTGAAAAATTATTGACACAAGTTCAAAATGACTTTGATGATTAAAATAAAATTTCAATCAAAAATACGCGCGTCAAAACTTAATTAAATAAAAATTCGTATTTATTAAAAATTAATTTAGAAATAAAAGCGATTCGTAAAAGCAGTGCTACAAACAGTTTTATTTTGAATTAATTTAATTTTTAATTATGATTAAAAGTGAATCATAAAAAAATTAATTTTTTAATACAAATTAAGCGTTGCATTTTAATTTTTTTTATTATAATTCATTAATTAGTTAATAAATAATATTTTTTTAAAATTAAGTTGGTCAAACTTTTTCCACTTTATCTGTCAAAGAACCAAAACGTCGTTTCAAAGAATCAGCTGTTTGTCAATTGTGCAAATTCGTGACACGTTTTAATCTAAATCTAAAATAAATACCGAAATTGGAACAAAGATAACATGTAAAAGATGGCATGCGACGAAGATACCGTTTGGTAAGTTACTCTTAAAAATCGGAATTAAAAATCAGATTACTTTTTAATCTTTAGGATTACCGAATTGGAAACGGCTTTATTAGAGGAATGTTCCGCTACAGATATTTATTGTATTTGCAAGGGAAAGCCGTTACCTGATCATTTAAGAGCGGATATCTGGCAGGTGAGTAATCACTCTAACCTTAAAAAAAAGATCTTATATTTATATAAATTTTAGATATGCTTAGATATTCGTGATAAAGGTAACCAATTAATTCATTTCAACGAAGTTTTTGATCTCCAAAATCAAGCGGTTTTGCGTGAAGATTGCGTAAATTTCGTGTCAAAACTTGGAAATGAAGAAGATGACAAGCTTTCAGTAGTTTCCGATTTAGAATCGATCTTAACGTTTTACTGCAAATCTCGTAACATGAAATACGAAAAAAATAACGGCTTCTTAGAGCTCTTATTACCATTATTAACCTTAAAAGTGCAACGATCCACTACTTACAACTTATTCGAGGCGATACACGACGCTTACGTTCCTCAAAGTTGCCAAAAAAACGGCAACGCATTTCACATTTTACGCCTTTTACTGTTATACCACGACCCCGAATTGTGCAGTTTTTTAGATACGAAACGAATAACTCCCGATATGTACTGTTTGTCGTGGTTTCAATCGTTATTTGCGAGCACTTGCACCTTAAGCGTTGTTATCAACATGTGGGACTTTTATTTCCAACAATCCGATCCGTTTTTCATCTTTTTTTTGTCGCTCATTATGGTTGTTAATGCTCGGGATCAAATCATTTCAATGAAAAATGAAAGTCGCGAAAACATCGTGACTAATCTAACTAATATGCCGGCTGCTCTTGAGGCTGAAGATGTCAGCGATTTTTGCTCGTTGGCGCAGTATTACGCAATGAAAACGCCGAGTAGTTTTAAAACCGATTTGATGCAAACTTTGTATGGGGGAAAAGAAGGCGATAATGCGGCTATTTCCCAAGCTTTGTGTTTACCGGTTTCAGTGAGGGAGTTAATCGAAAATGTTAATATGGAGACGGGGAATGTGGATGCTGTGAGATTTTTTTTGGTCGATTGTAGACCTGTTGAACAGTATAACGCGGGACATTTACCAACGGCGTTTCATTTGGATTGTAATTTAATGCTGCAGGAGCCAAGTGCCTTTGCTACCGCTGTTCAAGGACTTTTAAGTGCCCAAAAACAAGCTTTAGCAGTTAAATCAAACGCGGGTAAAAATCCTTTTACATTAATATCAAAAGCGGCAAAAAACACTTTTTTTCAGGAAAGCATATGAAGTAGTAGCAAAAATAACATCTTATTATTTACTGCTTAATATTTAAGATCATCATTATATGAGTCAAAATGAAATATTTCAATCATTTTTCTCTAAATTTTGAATTTAACTTGAAATTTGGCCGTTTTTGACACTTATTTGTGTTCAATAACACCTCAATTATACAAAATAAGTTGTATTTAACCAAAATTATAACAGAGAACATTAACTTAAAGGATAAAATAGAAATACATTGCGCAACGCATTAAAGGATCTACTAAATTCTTGTTTCAGTTTCTTCTGGGGTCTTTTCACAAAGAATATTCTTTTCTACAGTAAACTCTACCTCGCCCGGTTCGTTTCTAGAAGCTATTTAGGAAACAATGATGTTTTTGTAAAACTCAAAGGAATCGATCTGCTGCCAATTATCGTCATAATATTTTTAAAAGCTTATCAACATCATGAAGCATTTAGGATTCTTCCGGTAGAAATTTGTTTAGGATTTGCTTTGTTTACACCCAACCCAACCCAACCCCTGCCACTACCCTGGTGGCTTCATAATAGCATTAACTTCACTTCCCCAATCAAGATCAAGAACTTCACCTCCCAAGTGAAATACCTGGCCATAGCTTTGCAAAATTGTGTAAAATTCCTCTGGTTGAGAAAGTACCTCCTTCTTTCTGATGACTTTTTCTATCTATGCAAACACTCTATTGCATTCTATTTTTTCAAGAGTTGAAGGCGCCTCGTGTAGGAGCCACTTTCCAAGCATTAACATAAGAATCGAATTTCTGTTGGCCTCCACAGTCATCTGCAAACACAAGACGCTATTTCATTAGATCCTTTTGGTAACTGATGTTTTCACCAGGTGTATAAAAGAGTGTTCCCTCTTAAAGGATCCTTGGAATTACGTTGGACAATAGAAAAGTTATATAAATAAAACTGCCGGCTGTAGTATGTCGTCTGATCAGGAAACAACGATCTGGAAACATCGTTCGCTTTGCTTCTATCTGGATGGGACATAAAGGCATAGCACTTTTATACACGTTCATTTTTCTCAGACATATACAGTAATCCCCGACCCCCTCCGTCGTCGATCGTCCAATATTTGTAAACTATGGCGTGTTTATGTTGACGTGCGCGAAGTAACCACAATGCAAAATAACTTTTCATTCAGTAAATCTATTTATCAATTAGTTTTAGCCCAATTTAACCCTTTCTAATCCATTTTTAATTAAAAATATTATAAACAGAAGTAAATCAAAATACCGAAGCTGTTTACAAACATTCGATGTATATCAATACGACAGTTTTTAATGCGTTATGGCCAATCCAGAGAGAAGCGAAGCGAACGATGTTGTCAGGAAGTCTTAGAATAGCGAAATTTTTTTGACAGTCAAAGCTTATAGTGAATAATCCGTCTATTTTTCCTTCAACAGGCTAAAAAAAGCCTTCGCAAGAAGCTTATAGATCCTTTTTTCCATTAAAAATGCAGTCTTTTTAGTTTTGTCGGTTTCTATCTTTAATTTTTCTTCTAATTCAAGACATTTAGAACACACTGTTCGTTTGTGGTGTTCCAACCCAATAATAAAAAAAGTTACAAAAACCTTACGGAAATAGCATTGCTTAACACTAAAGACGGGATCTTGCATGATGATCTTGGATCTATTAGTAATGGGATTCTGTGCATTTGAATTGCTTAATAAATGCTTTTATGGCAGCGCATTTTGAAGTAAATTTAGTACTCTTTCTATCACCGTCCCTCTTTTCTTGTGGAATCTTACCCTCAAGGAAGTAACGACGTGCCACTCCTTCTACCCTGTATTTAGTAATATCTACCCAGAACTTTAAGAAATTTTGGACGGCAGACATGCTTTGTAGTTTTTTCCTTTATCCAAAATCAAAAAAGTTAGGGAAAACCATTTTCATGTCCTGCTGTTATCGACTGGTCTTCTTCGTCAATTTATTATTGTATATTTAAACTGGTCTTCAAATATACTAAAATCTAGCGGTGAATAACAATTAAAACTAGAACTAACACTAGACCTAGAACTAGAAACATTCGGGTTTAGCCGTCTTGAAAGACGTGCGCCAAAATCCGAAAACTTTCTACTTCGATATACCGCTACATTGTGGTATATTTGAAGACCAGTTCAAATATACAACAATAAATTAAAGAAGAAGACCAGTCGATAACAGCACGACAGGAAAATCGTACTAGCACTGCTACAATGTAGAACTAACACTATACCTAGAACTAGGATCATTAGCCGCACGTCTTTTAAGACGGCTAAACCCAAATGATTCTAGATGTAGGTATAGTGTTAGTTCTAGTTTTACACTTGCACTGTCACTAGAACTAACATTAGAACTAGAATCATTTGGGTTTAGCCGTCTTTAGAGACGTGCGGCTAAACCCAAATGATTCTAGTTCAAGGTCTTGTGTCAGTTCTAGTGATAGTGCTAGTGTAAAACTAGAACTAACACTAAACAAAGAACTGGAAACATTCGGGTTAAGCCACATGTTCTATCACCGCCCCTCGTTTCTTGTGGAATCTTACCCTCAAGGAAGTAACGTCGTGCCACTCCTTCTGCCCTGTGTTTAGTAATACCCAGAACTTTAAGAAATATTGGCAGACATGGGAAAATAATTTTTCTGTCTTGCTGTTATTGACTGATCTTCTTCGTCTGGTTAAATTCATCTCAATATGTTTTAGTATAAAAGAATCTTTTTTTTTGTTTTAATTTTTCGGGGGTTCTGCATATAGTATCGCCTATGTTAATCCAAAATAAGTTCTTTACTGATTGTTGAGCATTTGAAGGACTTTGTATTGTGCCCACATGTAGGCATCTAAAATTTGCGGCCAATATACACCTCATTATTTTATCACGGTTTCTTTTCTACGATGCTGATCGTATTTGGCGTTTCCGTACTTTATCAGTTTCTTTTTCAATGCTAATTTCCATATTACACAATGTAATAACTGCAATGAACAAGAATTCGGCGTTTCTATAAGATACTTAAGGAGGTATCATCAACCGCTGCCGAATACATTATCATAAATGCTTTAACGCATGCGCAGATGCTTTTGATGCACAAACGGCAATGGATTTGGCCGATTTTACAATTCAGATCAAAATTTAGGCAACAATTTCCATTGGATATGATCTGTTTTGACACAAATGAGAAAGAGAAACATGCAGAGAGCCATCTAGAATTGCAAAATGACAAATTGTGGATTTGGCCGCTTTTGATTTTGATCCTAAGCTACTCACATTATAATTAATGTAATAATTAATTTCTAGGTGGTGAGCATTTATGTTTTTTGGGTTCCGGACGTAACGAAGAAGATCAATACACTCACATGGTCGTTGCTTCATTCCTCCAAAAGCACACCCAATACGTTTCGTTATTAACAGGAGGTTATATGGCTGTTCATAATTATTTTTGCGATAATTTGAATGAGTTTTTGCAAGATCATAATTCTTCTCAATGCATTGTTTGCGATGGAGGTGGTTTAAACGGGGACGGTTCGTCGAAATCATCCCTCGATTGTTCGAACAATTCAAAATCGACAACTAACAGCCAATCCAACGATCTCTTTGGGAAGATTTCAGCAGCGATGAAATCGAAATCGGCCGAAGTTAAAGGAAAATTATTTGATTACATCGTTAATCCGAACAACAGCCCCGTACAAGAACGTCACGTTTCGAGTAATGATAAAATGGGGAAACGATATCGAAATGTTGCGCCTGTTTTTAGTATTGATGGTGAAGTTGATAATTTCGCCGATGTTAATAACGTCCAAGATGAAGAAAGGGAATTGGTTCCGATACAAAGTTGGTTAAAAAATCCGGATGTCATCGAACATTTTCCTTGTCAAGAGGTGAAATTAAACGGGTTTATGTATAAAAGTCATTTGATGGTGACCGATAGACATTTGGTGGTTTTAAGAGAAATTTACGATAAAAAAGGAATCGCCGAGATCATCGTAAAAAGGCCTTTATCATCTATCGTAAAGATAACAGCAAAAAAACGACACCCTGAATTAATAACGTTTAAATACGGAGTGTTGGATGGGGAACAACTCCATATTACCGACATGGATAAGTTTTTAATTCCAAATGCGGCAAAAGCTACGAATGTTGTGTCTGAACAGATTTTGAACCATCTCAAAAATCAAGATTAATTTAATTGCAAGCAAGAAAATCGTTAGAATTTTGTAGAGTTTTATCGTGGTTAGATGGACGTTGTATGTACTTATTAATTTTTGTTCTTAAAAGTGAAACGGTCCTTAAAAAAAAATGTTAAGCGTATTTTACGTAATGAAAACGTGTTGTTTATAGCTGTAAGATAAAGTATTTTTAAAAAGTTATATATTTCTTTTTATTTATTTCCATATAATTTGTTTTAGCTTTAAATAAATTTATCTTATTATAATTTAAATGATTTTTATTTAAAATAATAACCTCTTAAATTAATAAATACCTGTCAATGTCAAATTTAGGGTTTTTGTTGGTATTAACTGTTTCTTCCTTGAAACTAATTTTGCAGTTGAAGAAATTGTTGGAAAATAAACACTTTGTTTTATATAAATATTTAGCTTTGGATAACTATCTTTATGGAATAAAATGTTTAAAATAAACTCTTTTAGGTTAGTTTTAAGTTTATGTAAAATTTCGCCAGCGACATCTAACGAAATTTTATTTGTTATTGTTATTCAAAATAAAATTAATTATTAAGGTGAATTTAAACTTAAATTTCAACATAATTCTTTTCTATGAAATTAATTAACAATTACTATTGAATAATAAAGAAATATAAAATAAAAATTTCCTTTTTACTTCAAAAAAATTGTTTCTATAGATCTAGTAGGTGTATTAAAAACAAAAATGACATTTAAAAAAATTTTTTAGGTTATAAACGTTAATTGTCACCATTACATTACTCTTTTCTACTTTATATATAAAAAACTAAAACGTAATGTTGTTTCTTAATATTTTAAAAGAGAACGAACTAAATTAAGCGCATGCGCTGTTAAGTAAACTTATTAACAAGTGCTGACATCGTTGCGAGTATTCAATGAACTTCAAAACCGTAAAGTCAACCGATTATTAAACGAACGAAAACAACTCGAAAAATTGCGAAAAATGGAAGATAAACCGGTCGAGATGGAAAATCAAGATAGTTTTCTTATGGAAATCGTGTCGGACATTATTTATAGTCCGGTCAATTTGATTTTAGTATCGCTAATAGCATTGTTAGCCTACAAAATATTCAAAGGTAACAGACCGACTCCGCCACCTCCTCAACAACAATTACCGAAATTGCGACGAGATTTTACCGTGGAAGAGCTCAAAAAATACGACGGAAATCAACCGGATGGTAGAGTACTTGTTGCTGTAAATGGTAATGTTTTTGATGTAACAAGAGGAAAAAGATTTTACGGACCAGGTACGATTTAATTCAACACCAATTAATAGGAACCATTTAAATTAATTGATTATGTTTAGGCGGTCCTTACGCTCCGTTCGCCGGAAGAGATGCTTCGAGAGGTTTAGCCACATTTAGCGTTTCAGCGAAAGACGGTGATTCCTACGATGATTTAAGTGACCTTAATACGGTTGAAATGGACTCGATAAGAGAATGGGAAGCACAATTTAGAGGTGACACAAAATTTAAATTATCGTATAAAATGACTATCAATTTATGATAAACAAGACGATTATCGAAACCTTTTTAACCTCTATTCTTTATAATTCAAATAAGCCTTGATCACCCTGTATATATTTAGTGACTTTCAATTTAAAGTTAATTTGAAAGATCTTGAACTTTAACCGGGAATGAAATTAAAAAATATTTATCCTTTGATTCAATGATTGTATATTAATAGATGTTTTTTTTATTAGAAAAATACGATTTAGTTGGACGTTTATTAAAGCCGGGTGAAGAACCAACAAATTATTCGGATGAAGAAGAAGAAACTGGTGGATCAAGCGGTGGTGATGCAAAAGATAAAAAAGATAATTAGACTATTAATAGTATGCGGTTATTTTATGATGAAGGGGGTGAAGGGATAAATCGACCAGCAGTTTGACTTTTATTACATCCGCGTAGATGTACTTTTAACAGTTTGTTTTTTTTTATGTTAGCATTGTTACTTTTTAAATACTACTTAAAGCAAAAAATAAATACTACTAATTAATTATAATAAAAAGAAAATCGAGATAACGTATTTTTGTATGGTTTAAAATAATCCATTTTATTTTAAACAAATTGTCAAAAAATTAATTTTAGGTTAGGTTAGGTCGGTGTCAAATTGATTTAAACATCTATCTCAAATAAGGTTGTACAACTTTGTAATGATTAAATAACTATAAAAAAAAAATAATTTTGACATTTGTTTTGATAAAATGGGGTGCTCTAAAAATAATTAATGTGCAATATAAAATTAAAATTATTGTAATAATCGTGTAGCGATAAACTGTTTTGATGGTTGAACATTTTTAATTAATTGGTGCGTGTTTTCTGTGTGCTTTAGACGTTATTACAAAGATAATCAAATTGAAAAAATAAAGAGGCCAATTCTTCCATATAGCTTCTCATTATTATGTAATTTCTTACACGTGCATTTATTATTATTACATTTAACATTGTAAATTCTTATTTATTGTTTTTTTTTTCCTATTTTATTCTATTTTCAGTTTTTCCTTGTGATACTGCCTACAGGCGAGGTTAATTTAATTTTATTTCATTTTTTTCTCCACTTTATCTTTTAATATTGTTACGAATTAATAAACCTTTTAAAATGATCTATTAAAAAATACTTTATTAAAAAAAATCATCAAATTAAATAGTTTTTAATAAACAATTACAAATTTTTAATTATAAATTAATCAACATCGAATTGATTGGCATTATTTTTGAATATCAGTTACTTTAGCTGCCAAATCTGCAAATTTAGCAGTATAATCCAAACTACTTTCAGTTAAAAGTGATTGTACCTGAAATAATTAAAAAAATTTAGCGCCATCTATAAATTAAAAGCTCAAATACGCACCGCTTGAGTTAAACACAACCTAGAGTCTTCACTGGCGCAACTCGCATTAGATTGTGCGGCTTTAATCGGCGACTCTAAATGCCCTAAAAAACTGCTGAACGAAAAATCGGCAACTTCCGCATTTAACCATTGATCTTCGTTTTCTTTTAAAACTCTCGAAGGACTCGTTGGTGGTGTCGCCGATGTTACAATTGTCGTTGTAGGTAAAAGCCCCACAAAACTCGTTGGTTCTTCACCCGCCACCTCATCATTTTCCTCCCCATTATTCGAATTAAGCGCCAATTGAATCAAATTTGAAATATCACTGGGAGAACCGGCTCGGCTTGGAGTTATCGCATTATCATTAATAACATTTACAGTTTCTGAAACGGTTTGATGAGGGGTTAAAATCGAAACTAAACTGTATGTTGAAACGGATTTTTCGGAGTTATTGAGTTGCGTTTCGTTTTCTTGGGTGGTTTTAGGCGCGATTGGGCGAGGATTTGTGTTTTGAGTGGAGCCAGCGACGTTTTCTTGTGATATTATGCTCATTTGAACGATTTGTCGCCCGTCTTCGAGGCGATTTGCTAAAATTGGAAGTTTTCTCTCTACAACGACTGGTTTAGTTCTTGGGCGACGACCTTTACGGTTACAGTATCGAGGGCGTAATTTTTGTATTGACTAAAAAATATTGATTTAAATTAAAAATTAAATTAATTATTTTTGATTTACATCTAATTGTGCCATTAATAAATCGTTGGGGGAACCTGGTCTCCTGAATAATACTGAAGGTGAAACTCGTCTTAAAGCTGGTTCATTATTTAAGGTTGTGTTGTTAAGTTGGGGGTCAATCGATGTTGGTTTCTATAATAAAATTAATTAAATAAATGAAGTTTTGTGGTGATTTTGTAATTACATCGGCGTTGTTATAAAATTTTTCTCTGCCAGTGATGACTTTGGTGGTGGTTCGATTTTTATTTTTCGAAACCCCCCCACAAATATGACCACAAGGACATTGAATGCGATTTTTGCGATAATGTAATTTCGCCATTGATAAAAGGCGCTTTAAGATGTTCGAAATTTTATTTGATTGACTTGAGTACTCTTCAACAACGTCTTGATTAGTTATATCATGCTCAATTACTTCTTTATTTTCGATTTGATCCCAACTATATTCCAATGTTAACTTAGAATCCGACCCATACTAAAAAAAATTTTTTTTTAAATTTATTTAAAATTTAAAAGCGATTTTTTACCATTAAATATAAATCCCCAACACATAAAGTACCACAATTATTAACCGTCCACCCTTTCATCAATTCAGTAACTTCAACCTCCTTCTTCTCATTAAACGCGATGCTCCCATTAATCTCGTCACTTTCAATTTTAATCTCCATCGAATTATTCGCCTCATTCTGTTTATCATCTTTCAATAAATTAACTTGAAGCGATAATATCGTATTAACGGCTTGATCAACAACATCAGTAACAACCAATTCTTTTTGTTGACTAACAGATTCACCTTCACATTTAGCACAATTATTTTGATTAATTACTGTGTTTATCGTTGATGTTAAAGGGGATAATTTCTCGTTTGTGCTGCTATTACTTTCATGGCGAGCCCGTTTTGTATAAATCTTTTTCAAATTAGCTTTGCTGCTACTCGATAGCGATGTTAACCATAAATCTTCGCCTTTAGTTTCGACGCCGAAACGTTCTTCGTACGAATTCAAACACACATTTTGACTCGTTAAGTACTCGGTTACGTTTAAAGTGGGGACATCTAATTTGCAATTTGGTGGTGGGGAGAATCTTAAAAGGTTTATTGGGGGTTTAAAATCTTCTATTTGGGATTCGTTTACTTGTTCGGTTTGTTTTAATGCTGTTTCGTACTAAAAAATAAAATTTGTAATAATTTTAATGTTAATGAAATAAATTAAGAATAATAAATTATGATATCTGCAACCCACATTACTTCCATCTAACAAAAATCATCACAAATCCAAAAATAATTTAAAAATATATTTTTTTTTAATTTGGCGTGAAAAATCAAGATAAACACAAATATTTACAGTTAAATTGAGCAAATTTAGTAATTAAGTTAGAAAATAGATGCAGTTCATTTTCTTTCTATACCTGTCAAATTGTTGTATAGTTGGTGAGATAAATAGGGAATTTTGTTACATTATGTTTTGATATTAAATCGTTTCAAAATATCGTTATTTAAAAAAAAATCAGTTTTTGGATTTTATATTTATATACAAATAATTAAAATAAAATTAAAACTTTATCAAAAATAATTAGAAAAACGATATAAATTTTATACGAACCCTAAGTAATGCCAACAAAAACCCAAAAATTAAAACTTGTGAATTATAGAAACAAAAATTCCAATTAAAAATTGTTTTTTAGATGTAAATTTGGCGCTTAGACGGCAAGCGGGATAATGCAATAAATAAATATGTTAAAATTGTAATGTTGAAACTAAAATAACAAGTTTTATTTTAAGCACCAAAAATGTAGCCGAAAAAATTTCGCATATGACAGTTAAACGTCAAATTTGACATTAATAATAAAAATGATTAGAAATCATATATCGGGTATTTCATATAACTTGCAATAGTATAGTTACGAAACTGCTATGCACTGGCACTGTCCCATATAAAATGTAACTAAAAAAATGCAAATAGGTACACGCACTGGGGAGTTTTACAAAGGAAGAATTTTGCTTGGAAAAGGTGACGTCTCTTAAATTCTTGGTCTAGCGCTGCATAACATTTAAAATAACACTAGAGCTAGTGTTAGAATGTTTCTAGTTCTATGTCTCAAATTAGTTCTAGTGCTAGTGTTAGTATAGTTTTTTAATTTTTTATTCAGTGCTAGATTGTTGTATATTTTGAGCTATAACGGACACTGCGTTCCCCGTATTGATCTGTTATATTGAGGTTTTACTGTAATGTCAAATTATATTGACATATTGCATTTTATGTGAGACAAAGGTACGCCCAGGTCTTTATGGAAATATATTTTTGTGTATTGCATTGTTACACACACCCTAGAAGAGTAACCATCGTAATATTTACGAGCTTTTTGTTTTTGTCTCTTAACTTCTAGGTCTATCGACCTGTACATGTATGTCATTTACATCGGTTGCACTTGTTGTTTACACTGTTTCTCGAGGTGAGAAGTTGTAATTTTTAAGGTTACCTTTAATGTAATTTCTTGATACATGCTAAAATATAGTAAATCCCGTGTAAATCTGGTATGGCGGTTAATCGGAAGAGAAATCGACTGTTAACTGAAAAGGAATTTCTAGATGAAATAGAAAACAGTCATGTGCATGAATATGGGATTCTGAAGAAAGCGGAGAGTGAAATGTTTATCATCCGATAAAGATGAATACAAATGTAATCTCTGATAATGAGTCATGTCCCCGTGCAAAGAGAAGACGGCAATTACCAGCAAACGAATGCAATAAAATCAATGGAAAAGATGTACCTGTCAACAATTAGAACCAACAAGAGAGTTTCGCGAACACCTAAGAGAAGTTTAGTATACAATATACAGGGTGATTCAAAAAACCGCTGACAGACTTCTAGAGTAGATAATACACGAAAAATCAAGATGAATAGTCTTAATATACATGGGGTCGCAAATGCCTCGTTGGCGAGATATAGCGGGTCAAAGTTTCTTTAACATTAAACATTATCTGCTATAAAAAGCACTTTTTTAAAAATATTGTCTACGCCATTGCTTTCTACGCGTGTAAAGTGATCAATTATCTATCAATTGGTCTCTTACAACACTTTGATCAAAGCAATAGTTTTTAAGAAAAACACGTTTGTAGAAAATTTGTTAATTCAATCAAAAACTGTTGCTTTAATCAAAGTGTTGTAAGAGACCAATTGATAGATAATTAATCACTTTACACGAAAATACTGCCCGTTTGACAAAATTAGCAGTGGAGTTGAAAATATTTTAAAAAAAGGGCTTTTTATTGCAGGTAATGTATAATTTTATTTATTTGATCCGCTGTATCTCGTTAAGGATGCATTTGCGACCCCATGTATATTAAGACTTTTCATCTTAATTTTTCGTGTATTATCTACTCTAGAAGTCTGTCAGCGGTTTTTTGAATCAACCTGTATAGTGCAAGGGCCCAAAGGTCTTACACTATACGATCTTGCACGATACATCATTGGAAAGCTACAAATATGTTCTTTTCAATAACATCGTAATCAAGTATAGTTTGTATTTAAAAAAAACACAACTTTGTGTTGTATCTCAAAAATCATCAAGTATGTTTAAAATTTTTCAACGGCAGTACATTCTACTTAGGAAAGTGTCTTAAGAACGTATCAACCCCATTTCTCTAATTTGAAAAATAATCGAAATATGAGCATTTTTTGAAATCATGAAAATTTAACTTTTTGGCTATAACTTAAAAACAAATGGAGATAGAGGTTTGGTGTTTGCGGCATTGGATTAGTCTCGAAAAAAGAGACCGGGGCATGACACCTACTTTTTTCATATCTCTTATAGTTTCTGAGGTAGTCTATAATAACACCCAAATTTGCTCACTCTGTACAGGGTGTCCAAATTTCGATGGGTTTGCAGGGTATCTCAGTTATTATGAAAGATTAGAAAGTTGCGGCTTTCGCGAACCTGAGCTACTTTTTTGTGAAACTTACAATGGCGTAAGCCAAATTTTCGTGTTTGACATTTACGATTTTCAGACACCCCCTGTATCTCGGCTATCCGGAAACTTAGTGAAAAATTAAAAACGGGTTCTAATAGATTTTTTTCACGTGGAATCCAATGGTGCACGTAGAATTTTTCTAGTCATCACGGTCTTTGAGTTATAAACACAACTCAAGTACTGAATACTCAACTTCTAAAATACTTAACTCTTTATGACTCAAAAACCGTAATGACTAGAAAAATTCTACGTGCACCATTGGATTCTACGTGAAAAAATCTATTAGAACCCGTTTTTACGTTTCCGGATAGCTGAGATAGGTGTTTGAAAATCGTAAATTTTGAAACACTCCCTATATATCAAAAACGAAGAGGACTATGAAAATTTGGTTTGCGCCATTGTAAGTTTCACAAAAAAGTAGCTCAGGTTCGCGAAAGCCGCAACTTTCTATCTTTCATATTAACTGAGATACTGTGCAGACCCATCGAAATTTGGACACCTGTACATGTATGATGGAGCGCCATCGCGTTAGATAGGCCGCGGTGGTCCTCAGAATTGGCCAGCCAGATCTCAGGAATTAAATCCATTAGATTTCTGTCTTTGGAGTTTTCTTAAAACCCTGGTTTATTCAACTTCTGTTGAAAATATCAATGATTTACGGAATCGTAACATCACATCATGTGAAACTATCAGGAATACACAAGGAATATTTGAAAGAATACGAAATTCAATGAGGCGAAGGGTAGAATCGTGCGTCGCTGCTGAGGGGCGGCATTCTCAACGTTTATTATGATTATTAATATTTTGTTAACGTTGTTATTATTTGTTTTTGTAGTTTTGTTAATTGTTATTGTTAGTGTCTGTGTATTTTTATTTTATTTTTTTTTTTTTGATTAACTTAACAATTTTGGGAGAAACTGTCCTTAATGGGCGCCTTCACCAGAGAATTCCGTTTACGTTGGCAAACGCAAACGGGTTACGATTGCGTTGGTGATTTGGTGAACGGCCAATTTTTCTATAGACATATGATTTGATAACAACAGATGGCGCTTTAATGACATTTATTTACAATTTTAATTAATTTATAGGTACATACTGCTCAATTTATCATGAATTTCTTCATTTTCAAAGATAGTATACACTAACCCATTAAATAAATAATTTCAGGCTTCTGCCATTCTTTTTTGTTGATTTTAAATTTAAGATGACACAAACACCAAACACCGTTTGCAATTGCTAACGGAAAAATCATACGATTGATAAAATGGCGGCCGTTTACCAAACACGTTTGAAGTTAGGGTTGCATTCACCAGAAATGTTGCCAACAGTTTGGTCTTCAGTTGCAAACGTTGACAGTTGGTGAACGCGCCCATTATTTAAAAATTTGTCATTATGACATCAGCCTACTTGATATTTTTATATAAATAATAACCATACTGTGAATTTCATCCTTCCAAATTCCTCCATAGTGGATTTATTAAAGAGAAACAATTCTTTTCCTCTAATTTTAGAGGTCTGTAACTTGGAGGAGAAGTGATTTTGACCAAAAAGTTATATGAAATTAATTTAACGCATTCATTTAGATACTAATTCATTGTTGTTATTAACACAACCTATCCTCTCTTCTCAAAATTGATTATAAAAGTGTAGCATCATAATATTTAGTGAAGGTTACCTTTCTAAGGATAACATACCTGGGTTGTTTCATAAGTTTTCCATTTATCATTCAAATAAAGCAATAAAGCGCTTACTCTCCTCTGTAAAGGAACGGTTGTTTTTATTCGAGGATTTTGCGAAAGTTTTTGAACGACCATCCACGTATCCATATCTTTCGGTTTAAGTTCGACGTTGATTTTTAATGGTAACTTGAGGTCATTGTGCCCATCTAAATTATTTTTGGATTAAAAATTTTATAACTTTATTACTTTGTTTTATTAATTACCATCCAATTGATTCAAAATCCTCAAAGCTCTACAAATCGGAGTCCTCACCCTAATCGTTTTTCCTCGGGTTCTAATCGCAACGGAGCCCCTATATATGAGTTCGTTAAGTTTCATACAAGCTTTTTCGCTGACAAATAACAATTTTTTTCTTAATTCTCCATAATTAATTAAGCCATATAGTTCTTGAGCGACCTTTTTAACCTCTAAATAATAAATTGAATTAAAAAGGAATTAAAATAAATTATATTTTACCCTCTGAAAATATTAAATGTTTTGAAATTTTGTGCCAAGTTCTGTAATATAAGTGCCTAATTTGTTCTCTGGTTTTATATTGATACTCGGGAACTCCTTTTTTCTTTAATTTAGTTGTGATGTAAGCATGGATCGCTTCGAAATCTTTACCATACTCGTTTAGAGCTTCAAAAAAAAGTTTTTTATCTTCTAAATCCCATAATCTTAAAGGCCTTCGACCCTCCGGTTTGGATTCCTCTTTAATTGGCTCTACAAAACACTCACAATTATTAATTTAATAATAAATCTGATTAAAAATAACCTTTTTTCTCGATTATGGGTGATGGAAGTGTTTGAGTCGGAGTTGAATCCAATTTCATTTTTTTAAAAACCCTGGCACTTGCTCTTATTTGCATGTTTTTGGCTTCAGATCCTTCTACGTTATTATAGGTGGTTACAGAGCCTAATAACTCATCTATCGGAATTTGTTGATCAAGGATAAACTTACAGCTTACTGGCAATTCATTATTAGCCATAATTAACTTTTTTTAATAATTAAGACTACAAAAAAAAATTTTTTAATGAAACGACTAAACTAACTCAGTGTTCTCATTAGGAGGCATCATTTTAATCAATAACAATGACCCACAATCAAATTATTTATTAAAAATGTAAATAACACATTTTATGATACTTAAGGGTTCCAAAAGAATGTTTAATCCGGTAATTCTAAAGTTATTGTTGATTGAAATTGAACCGAGTGAGAGGTGATTTATAAAAATGGCTGGCGTTTGGATGAGAGTGGTTTGGAAAAATGATTGGGATTTAAAGCGGTTTTTACGCTATTTTGGGGGTTAATCGACGCCTAAACCATTAATCGATAAATTCTACACACTTTCCGAACACATAAACTTACCGAAACGTTTAAATCTAGTTTAAAATGAGCCGCAACAAAATCGTAAACACTCGGTAGCATAATTCTCTCTACTTAAAAATTTCTATCGCTTCTCGTCTCGAGATATTGCCAACCTATGTGTACTATCTTTGTTGTTGTTGTTAAAAATAACGTTATTAATTATGAATTAATGTAAAGTTGAGGTGTGAAGGTTTAGTAAACAATTTAAAGTATACAAAGGAATAAATCAGTTTTCGTGTAAATAATGGGGTCGTTTTTAGGAGGACTTAACCTAAAATATTTTTTTACTTTTAAATGATTAAATTTTAATTATAATCGATTTTTTTAATTGTTCTTAATTTTGTTCTTAATTTTTAATGTATTAAATAAATTTGTTATGTTAAGAATCTTTGTATATTAAAATTATAAAATTTTTTTGAATTTAAACTTGAAATTATTACAGTTTCCTATACTAACAACAATTACTTAATTATTATATTATAAATTTCATTTTAATTAAATCGATTTTCCCATTAAATAATTTCCCAATAAATTCTATTTAACTCAAAAATAATAAATTAATTTAATTTTGACCTTCATTAAAATTAATTTATGAAAGTGAAGGTTTTTAGGGTATATGTGGTTGCCTATTTTTTAATATTTCGACAGGCTTTGTTTGTTGGTTACCCAATCAGCTGATTTCTGTTATGTTATGACAGATTGGGTTTTGTGTGCAAAATAACTTCAGTTTTGATTAAAATTCGGTTCCTTCTGGATGATTAATTCGATTAATTCGTTGATTAGGTGTTATAAGCGTGAAGATTTTTCGTAGTGTTATAAAACGGGGCATAATAAACAGGTTGACGTCATATTTCGGTTGGTGTTTAAATCTGTCATCTGTGGTAAAATGACAATGACGCAGTGCAATTAGAAAGAAAATGTGAATCATTTGGTATAAAAAACGAGGTAAATGTTTAATTACTTAATTGGTAATAAAAATTAAAACGTTTTGAGGGCTAAATTAATTTTTTTTTTAAGTTTTTAACAAAAGCCTTTGTCCTTCAACATTCACTTTCCACACCCTTTGTTTGAAAACAAAAACAAACTTTGTTTATGTATGTTTATTTAAATTTTTGAACTTTTTTTAGAATTAAGAAGTTATTAAAAACAATGTCAGCGGATGCTCAAGTTCGATCAAGATCCCATCATCATGGGAAAAATGGAAAAGAATCTGTTACTGTGTCCCCTCAACACGTTACTGACCCATCGATTTTAGACAGTGTAGCTGGATTTATAAGTGATGTAGTCCCAACTGCTTATAATGTCCCTGGCGAGACGAAAGATCAAGTTCAATGGGCTAGATTTGAGGAGCTTTTCTCCGAGGAATATTCCCAAGATGCAGAGAGCGAAAATTTTATACCATCCCCGTTAATATTAATTTTGGGATACTCCAATGGACTCCAAGTATGGTCGATTCCCGCAACGGGAGAAGCCGTCTTATTATTATCTTGGAAACATGGCACAGTAAAAGTTTTAAAAATTCTTCCAAACCCATCAAAAATAGGGTTAAACATCGTCGATGAATTTTCAGATAAAAGACCGTTGATAGCACTTTGTGATAACGCAACTCCTAGTCCGCATTTTTGCTCCCTTAGTTTTTTATCACTCAAAACGAGCGAGCAGGTTAAATTGATTAAATTTCAACTCCCCATTTTAGACGTCTTGGCTAATAGAACGTCGGTCGCTGTGACTTTTACCGAAAGAATCGCCGTTTTTGATGCTTTTACTTTAGAAGATAAACTTGTAATCACCACTTGTTATCTTAGCCCTGGAATTAATCCGAACCCCGTTGCTTTAGGAACAAGATGGGTTGCCTATGCTGAAAATAAATTGATTCCTTCAAGAAGAAGTAGTGGAGGAAATGATGGGGAAGGGATACAAGTAAGGATTTTAATTTGATTAGATTAATTTTATTAATTAATTTTTTTTTTTAGAGTTATACAGCTACTGTGTTGCATGCGGCGAAATCTTTAGGGAGGGGTTTAAGGGAGTTTGGAGAAACTGTCGCTAATAGTTTAACAGGAACTACACCATATAAACCCCCACCCAATATTCATTCCCCCAGCAATGTTTTACAAAAAGGGATTATTACAATTTTAGATATTGAGGTAAAAAAATAATTTGGAATTAAAAAATATTTTTGTCCATGACTACCTTATAATATATACCTTATAAATGAGTTTTCTAGAATGAAAGGGTAGTCATTTTTCACAGAGTGAATAAAAGGGGTGAATAATCATTATTCACGGGTAATCAACTTGACAGATTAATATTAATTATTTGAAATGTCAAAATTTTAAAAAACGTCAATTTAATTTAATTTTTTTAGTACTTTCTAAAGGTTTGACATTAAAAAAACATAAACATATTTCTTTTTTCGTATGATTTAAGCATAAATTAATTAATTTTAATAAAAAAAACATGTTTCATAAAATTGACATTTAATTTTGACAAATTGTTATGAAGTTGGTTACAGTTGGTAACATTGAATTTGTGTCACAATTGACGTTTAAACTTTATTCACAAATTTATTTAAAAAAATAATTTATGGAATCAATTTCAATAGTAGTCATGGACAAAGTATAGTATTCTACTCACATATAATGACCTATTATTCACTCAGGTTAATAAACATAACCTTAGTGAATAATAGCCCTCATTATATGCTCATATAATATACTATTGTCCATGACTACCTTGTAATATATACCTTATAAATGAGTTTTCTAGAACGAAAGGGTAGTCATTTTTCACAGAGTGCATAATAGCTGTGAATAATCATTATTCACGGATAATCAACTTGACAGATTAATAATAATTATTTGAAACGTAAAAATTTCAAAAAACGTCAATTTAATTCAATTTTTTTAGTACTTTTTAAAGGTTTGATATTAAAAAAACATAAACAAATACCTTTTTTTCATATGATTTAAGCATAAATTAATTAATTTTCGTAAAAAAAACATGATATTTCATAAAATTGACAAATTGTTGTGAAATTGGTTACAGTTGGTACCATTGAATTAGTGTCACATTGACGTTTAAACTTTATTTAAAAATTTAATTAAGAAAATAAATTTATGGAACCAATTTGAATAGTAGTTATGGACAAAGTATAGTATTCTAGTTACATATAATGAGCCATTATATGCTCGTATAATAATATATTATTTTAGGCTGAAAAATCATCACAAATAGATAAAACCGTCGAACCGGACGCGATCGTATCCCATTTCACCGCTCACACCGAAGCGATCGTTTCGATGTGTTTCGATCCGAGTGGGATGCTTCTTTTAACGGCGGATAAACGCGGGCACGATTTTCATGTGTTTCGAATAAACCCGCATCCCGGGGGGCCCTCTTTAGCGGCGGTTCATCATCTTTACATCCTCCACAGAGGTGATACCACCGCGAAAGTACAGGATATGTGTTTTTCGGCCGATTCCCGCTGGGCGACCGTTTCAACTTTACGAGGAACAACCCACGTTTTCCCGATAACGCCGTACGGAGGTCCCGTCGGTGTAAGAACCCACGCCACTCCGTACGTTGTAAATAAAATGTCCCGGTTTCATCGATCCGCCGGATTAACCGCCGAAGGAAGATCAAATAGCCCCGTTTCAATATTCGAAGCGCCCGTTATATCACATTTACCATATCATAACCCCAGATTACCGCCGTTTGCGCAACCAACACTTGTGAATCCTTTAGCACAGGTAAAATATTAAATTAAAGGTGTAATTCAAGAATCATCATGTCGCTTAAAAATCAGCATTTTTTTTTTAAAGTGTAAAAATTACAGAAAAATCACTTTAAAGTGTCGATGTGACTTCACGTTTTGTCATCATACTTTTCTAATAGTTCCTTATGTTTTGGGTCCACTTCTCTTTTCCGTCTTCATAAATTGCATTGCTAAGATAATTAAGTGCAACTTTCACCTATATGCCCTATAGACGACCTCCAAATTTATACATCTGCAGCTGTGGATGAACTTCCAGCAGCGGTAATGCGGCTTAATAGGGTTCTTGCTAGTGTTCTAGACTGGTCTAGATACCATGGCTTGAGGTTGAATATAGCAAAGACTCAAGGTATTGCTTTCGGATCAAGACCTTTGCTAACAAAATTTTACTCCATCAATAATACCCATCTGACACTTGATGGTAACATCATACAATTCTTTCAAACAGTTAAAAATTTGGGGGGTGATGATGGATACTGCATTGTCCTGGCAGTCCCAGATTCAGTCTGTCTGCAGGAAGGTTTCTTTCTGTTTCTATTCCCTACGCAAACTTGGTTGTTTTCTTCCACCTATTGTTCGTCGCAACCCCTGTTACTCTTTAATTCTCCCCTACAAATTAGAGAGGTTACAAAATAATTGTCATCTCGAGATGCTCACCGTTGAGAAGCGTAGATCCTTTTCCCACATTAACTACCTTCTACAAGATACTTTCTTCTAAATCTCCAATTTACCTGTTCACTGCATTTCAGTTAAAAGCGTCTCGCGGTCTTCCTACTAGACCATAGTCTGATGTCTCAGATCATTCACTGTACATGTTATAAATCTGTGGAATAAATCTCTCTACAGTTATCTGAGACTGATTTTTGATGCCATCTGCTTCTTCTCTTTTCCCTCTTCAGCTGACAGCTTTAATCCGATTTTCTTTCTTTTTTGTTCCTATTCTTTTTCTGTTACTTGATATGTAGACTTGTTATTTTTGTTTTTTCCTATAGTTGGCATATTAATTATTTATCTTAATTCCATGCATACATTGCTGGTTGGGTCTTTTTGAAAACATAGCCTCTGGCTATAAATTGACTTTTTGTCAAACTTTTGTTAACCCTTTGTGTCCCGACGGTACTCTAAAGTACCGGTACTTTGAAACACTCATTTTAAGCTGTAGTCATCTATTCGAGGCATTTTTAAATTAGCATTTTTTTGACACTCTTAGGTTATACGAAAATGTAAGTTTTATTTCAACGTTTTTTTTTTTATTTTTTTCCAACCCAACCCATCAATTATTATACATCATTTTAAAGAGAAAGCTTTGAGCTTTAATTTAAAATAAGTTTCATTCCTTAATTTCAATAAATACGGCTTCCAGGAATTTTTAAATTAGCATCTTTTTTGATATTTTTAGGTTATACGAAAATATAAGTTTTATTTCAACATTTTTTTCTCTATATTTTTCCAATCCAACCCAACAATTATTATACATCATTTTAAAGAGAAAGCTTTGAGCTTTAATTTAAAATAAGTTTCATTCCTTAATTTCAATAAATACGGCTTCCAGGAATTTTTAAATTAGCATCTTTTTTTATATTTTTAGGTTATACGAAAATGTAAGTTTTATTTCAACATTTTTTTCTCAATATTTTCTAATTCAACCCAACGATTATTATACATCGATTTAAACAGAAAGGTTTAAGCTTCAATTTAAAATAAGTTTCATTTCTTAATTTCAATAAACACAGCTTTCAGGAATTTTTGAATTAGCATCTTTTTTGGCACTAATTAGATATGCAAAAATAGGGGGATTGCATATTTTGCTAAAATTGATTCCAAAGGCCTTTACTGAGTGTATTTTGATAGCGTTTTAATTCTGTCTGATTCTGTCACAAAGTTTAAAAATTTTTGACTTCTTGGGACACAAAGGGTTAATGTCATGGTTATCATAATGTATTGTTCTGTTATTATTGTAAATCTTGGTGGCAATAAACTTATTATTATTACTAAAATGGGGGTAGGCTGTAAATTCCGAGTTGGTCTGTTGAAAAAAAGGGTAAATATTCAGATCCTCCTAATTTACTGACTTATTGAGTTAGGTTAATTAACATTTAAACTAATGCGAATTTCCCAAATGTCGGATTGGGCATGGAGCAGGGGGTGGGTTTTAAATTCAGGGTTGGGTTGGGTTGGTTGACAAAAGAACGTTAACATTCAGATCCATGAAAGTAGGTAGATGGTATATAAAGACATTACTGTCGTTGTGGGTTTTTGTATCAGTGAACACACAGTCTATCTAACGACAAGTCAGTCGTTATGCTTCGAAAGGCTAAGAAAAACACCATCTGAAAATATATATGTTTTTTGGGTCATTTCGCATCGATTAAAAAAAGTCATCAATTTTTAAGCGACATGATAATTCTTGAATTTTTCCAAATTAAATTATTATCATAACCCATTTTTGATCTCTTAGGTTAGACAACCAGTTTATGTCCAAACCACCACCCATAATCAACAAAGAACCGTTTCGAATCGCCAACGTTTAAGTTCATCATCCTCGACATCATCCACCGAAGATCCCGTTCAAGACATTTTAAGAGTTTGCGCGTGTTTCGCCCCTCCAAGAGCTTGGATTTTAAATCCCACCCCTACAACAACAACCCCATCACTAAAATCATCCTCAATAAAACCCGTCGAATCGCTTTTCGTAATGTCTTGTTACGGCTCGTTGATTCAATACGATTTAGACCCGAAGCATGCCTCGAATGTGCCAAAGGAAAAAGTGAGCGATGACACCCCAATTGAATTAGTGGTTAGGGCGAAAGCGCAATGGGGGTTACAAAGAGATTCGAACGCGCGCCGTGATGATGTTCCGTTACCTCTAAGCGGGGAATTTTTGAAACTGTTAGAAACGGAGGCGCCATCGACCAAATTAAAGCCGGATCATAACGATGATAGGTGGTTAAGTCAAGTTGAAATTGTTACCCATGCGGGGCCTCATCGGAGGTTGTGGATGGGGCCACAATTTACTTTTAAAACTTATACAACAACCGCCGGGTACGAATTAAATTAATTAATTAAATAAAAAATTAATTTGGTTGCTTTTAGATCCCCCGGGAGTATTTTAGAATCAAAACCGATCGATGTGAGACGATCAAAGCCGGTTAATATGCCGTTAACCGGGGCTTACCCCGTTTTGATTGAAGCGGGTTCCGTGGGGAGCTGTGAGCCTTCCCCTAAGTTATTAGATGCGTGCCAAAGACATTTCGATGAAACTGGGTGTAGCGAGTTGCAGTTAAAGGAAGATCTTGCTGATGCTATGTTGGAATCTCCTGGTGCGCGAGAAGGAGGTAAGTTTATTACATCAATATCTTTTAATTATTTCTCTGTATGAGTTTCCCCCAAGTTTTTGATACAAATCTTAATCAATAAAGTTTACGTAGCCACTCATAATGAAATGTAGCTTTGTTAACTTTAATGATGATTAATCAAGGTGATGATTTTAACTGATTTTATTATTTTAAGAGTGTTTTTGATGTTTTAAAGGAGTGTTTCAAGTTTTTTTTGTTGTTGGATTTACTAAAATTATTCTTTTTTGCTAATTCCTAACAAAAAATAACACTTTTTTATCGGGTTTGATTTTTTTACCTTTTTCTAATATTTATTTTCTATCTTTTTGGGTTTTTACGAGATTAGAGGTAATTTTTTGGGCCCCTTAATTTATTTAAGACAATCCCCCAGAAAAGGCCAACGGCAGGATTTTTGGTTGATTTTTTTTTTATTAATAAATGCATGAAATAAAATCTCACATCATTCTTACTTATTTTGCATGCCCCCGCTTATTCTTGCACATTCAAACGGAATTACAACGATTTTAATTGAAATTAAAAAAATGTGAATTTATCCGATTTTCTTTGACCTGCCATTGGCTTTTTCTGCCTGTAGGTGGTCGTCATCGTCGCGTATTCTCTTCTTCTATGTCTTCAAAAGCACCATCGCGTACGGTGGGGGTGGTCAAGGTGGTGAATCCTCTTGGCACGGTTGTAACGGTTCCAGATCAAGATTCCGAGTTAATTTTGGAAACCCAAGAAGAAGTGATCCACGAGAATTGCGACGAAGCCCTATTTCGACCAGTCGTTGCCTCGAAAGCCGTCGTTTTCGCCGAACCCAAAAACGTACAAACAAAAATTTCATACAGCTCGTTACATATTAACCCAGACAAAGATAAAGTCTCCCGCAAAGATAATTTAATCGATTTAAGCTACTTCAAACCGCCCTCAAGCTTCAAACGTAACGATAACATCAAAAAGATTGAAAATGAATTTAGCGAAGTTGATTCAGGAAGATTTGACCCAAACCCGGTGAACTCGGACTCAAAACAAGTCAAAGTTGATTCAATCTGTGATATTTCAGATGCTGATATTTTAGTTAGTTTTGATGAAGATCGCGATGGTGATGTTTTTAAACCCGATACGGAACGAGAAGAAGAAGCTTTAATTGAATTCTTAAAAAAATCGGAAAATGACACAAACGAGGGGAACGAACAAGATTCAAATTTAACTCAAGATACAAAAGATGTCGCTTTTTCGTCTTCCGAGGAAGAACGAATCGTTCCAAAAAAAAGTCGCAAACCAAAAACTAAACTTGGAGTTCGCATAACGAACCTAAATAAACCAATCGAAGCACCTACACCTTTGTTGATCGTCGATGATGTTCAACCGAAACGTTCTTGGAGCAACGTTGCGGCGACGTCGAAAATTGACGCGGAAGAAGACGAAGAAACGACTATAAACGAGGATATAAACACGGAAAAGGGGGAGTTTTTAAAAATAAATAAATCGAGCGATGAAGAAGAAAAGGTTGATACGACCGGAAGTTCCACACAAACGGAAACGACAACGGAAAGCGATGATTCCAGTAATAATAAGGTGGCGAATGAGGAGGAATCAATGATCGCTATGGATACGGAAGAAGATTATGGCGGAGAGGAGAAAATTAAAATTGCCTCAACAACGGTCATAAAAACGAATAAGAAAAAATCTAAAAAGAAAAAGAGATAAATATTTTAATTTTAATTAATAAAAAATTAAATCTCGGAATAAGTTAATTAACATTTTCTTAATTTTTTTTTTTAAGTTGGTTATCTTGCGTTTCCATAGAATCGATTTTGACATAAACGTCAAAGAAATGTCAGAAACATCACAAATCTAGTCAATATTAATAATAATTATTTTGATTTATAATTTATTCCGAAATTTATTTTATTTGAATGAATGTATTGAAGAAACGTCAAAAAAAAAGATGCAATATCATAAAATGAATTCTTGTATTATCATAAATCATAATATAATAATATACAGGTGTTCTATTGAACGCTTTTGTGGTAAGCAAAAATATGCAGAAATTAATTAAGAAAAAAAATTTAATTCATTAATTGTAAGAATAACAAGAATTTATTATTAGAAATCTTTATAAATAAATAAATAATAGGATTTTTCCTCTTTGTATTATTTTTTTGTAGTTTTAGTTTTTGATCGGAATGTTTTTATTCGATTTAATTTAATTTTAACTTGTTAAGTTGATAATTTGTGTTCTGATTTAATCTTCAATGTACTAAATATTATTAAATTTATTGTTATTTCTGTAAATATTTTCAATCTATAGTAAAATGAGCTGTAAATATTTACATTGCTTTTAAATTTGTTAAGAATTTATTTGAAACCTGTAAAAAAAAAATTTTAAAAATATATGATTAAAGAAGAATCATGTTGTTTTTGCTTATCTCCAATATTTATTTTTATTAACACTTTTATTTAAGAATTAGTAAGTATTATTATCATTATTGCTGAGAGAAGCGGCCCCTCGTCAATGCAACCTATAAGATGTATTGTAACTGAAGCCCTCTAAAAGTTTAGGGCAAATGTTTGATGATCCTTAGTATTGCTCCAAGGTCTTATTCCTTTATGTCGGAAGGTGTCAAAAGAGCTTTACCGAAAATGTTGTGTGTGGCGATGCATTCACAGAGTATATTTATAGTCCACAGCCGGGTTTGGGTCCAATGAAGGGCATTTTCGCTGCCTCTTGTTGCCCTCAATGTCTCCGTGACCTGGAACCCCTAGCGAGTTCTCTTAGGTTTCTGGTTGGTACACTTTCTGATCAGAGAAGTGCCAGGTGTAGGCCTGAATTGCCTTTAGGACGGCCCGACTGTCTGTGAAAATGTTTATGGATATTTCTAGGCTCAAAACAGTGCAGAAGTTTATAGCAAAAACTTGAAAAATGGTTATGTCCGAGCTGAGGGGCAATTTAATGCTGCTATTTGGTCCACTAATGCCCATACCAACTCCGGATCTAACTGTCTTTGAAGCATCGGTGTACCAGGCAAAGGCTCCTCTCTTAAGTTGAGGTTCACTCTTCGTCCAATCATCCCTGTTTCTAAATATGACCTTATATGGCTGGTCGAAATTATATTCTGTCGGTGTAAGGTTCGTTTTAATTTCAATCAAGTGGTTTAGACATGCATCCTTGCGGACTTTGAGGATACCCTGCATCAACTTGAGTGAAGAGCATGTTTTCGGTGATAAAGTAGGGCTTCAAGAGCAACCGTCGGACTAGCTAACCTTTGGAGCCGATTTTGTTTGGATTAATGTCTATCACTGCTGCACCAAGTGCTAGGAAGTAGTAGGGCTTTCTGCATTAGTTGGATCATCAACATATCCCATTTTCTTTCTGTTTTTGAATGTTTTCTTTGTATTTTTGTCTTAGTTACAGGTGGTGAGCAATCAGTAACGGACTCTGCTTACCGTGATGCTGAAGATATATCTTCAGGAAGTAGCATCAGTTCAGCTAGTAGGGCTTCGCCCACACCTTCTTACAACGGAGATAACCTATTACATTTTCCTGGTGATTCTAGTAGTTCGTTATAAAATTCAAACAAAAAGTAATTAAGTTAAGTTTTAGTTTTATTACGATTTCTATTTTTTAAAGAGATATTTTAAGATTAACACTTTAAGATAATATGTAAAGGGCTGTATAATATAATAATTAAAAAGATTAAATCAACATGTTTCTTATTTCTAACCTAATTTCATCAAATTTGACAACTGTCAAATCAACTGTCAATTTGACGTTTTATAATAAATAAAAATTCTTATTAATTTTAACCTTATTTATTATTTTTCTTTGATAATAACGAGACAAATAATGCTAAAAAAATCATAAATAGACATCCAACACACAGATATACTTAACCTCTTTATATACAAAGCATTTTTTTTTAATCTCATTGCATTTTAGATACTTCAAATCTAGTGTTAACTAATTCTTCATCCGAATCTAAAATGGGAAGCGCTGTGATCGCCGTAGCGGGAACATTGCCTTCGAGCCACTTTAATTCGTCTTCAACACTATCTTCAACCCCCGATTTTTGCGTGGTTCCATTCTTAGCTTGTTTTATTAAGTTGTTATCGCCGTGGTGGTGTTGCGCGCGGATTTTAACACCGTACGCGTCGTTTACCAATTGTTCAACCTCCTCGTCGTCTTCCTCATCCCCGTTTCGGCCCGATTCGAAAATCGGAACGAAAGCGTAACGTTGATTATTCCTCGTCGGGCGCCATAAAAACATAATAACCAGCAATAAAGCGCTGAATAAAACGTGCCAATAAGCCTCGTCGATCCACAAATCCTTCCAAGATCTTAAACACCCCACCATATGATGCGCTTTTATCGAATACATCATAAAAACGACCGATGCAAGTACCGCGAAGATTAAGGTGTTGGTAAAGTGGCGGTAAAGTGTTAATTTAACTTGGTTGCGTCGTAATCGTAGTGTTCTAGTCGTTGCAACTAAAGCGCTAAAAATCCACCAACAAATTGCGGAATCTAAAACGGCTAAAGGAACCGAAGCGACGAGTAAATCTCGACGAAGCTCGTTTTTGGGACCAATTACTCTTAAATACGATTCATAAGCGGCTAAAATAAAATATAATCCACCAACTCCCACCACTCTATGCAAAGTTGAGCCTAAACGTGGTTTAACTATTCCAAAACCTAAACTGACTACAATAACCAACATACGAGCTAAGGTTCTTTTTGCGCAAGAAATCCATTCGGCGAATAAAACCGCTCCTTGAACTCGAACGCCGGTAGCGTTCACGCTGTGATATTCAGCGTAAAAAGTAGCCTTTTCTAACATTCCGAGAAAAATTACACCTCCAATCCAAAATTGGACTCGAAGCAAATCCTTCCATTGCGTAAAAGACCAAAATAACCAAATTGTACCAAACACAAAGTAAGTTCCGCACATTATTGCATAAAATGGTAATAAAGGGTAATCAACTGCTGATAAAAATCCGTGCGGTGAAAGCATTTCGATGTGAACTCCAAGTGTGAAATCATTTTCATTGGAGTCATCCGAAGGATTATTCTGAATAACAGAATTAACCCGAAATCCCAACACGTAAAGACCATCTTTTCGCGTTTTATAAAACGGGTGGGATTTTGAAAAAAGCGATTTTTCATCTTTTTCTAAAATTTCTTCTTTTAATAAGATGTGATCGTCACATTTGTAGATGTTTTCTAAGGAACGTTGAGCTCCGGATACATTAAATGGGATCTTTGTGTTGAGAAACTAATGAAAACATTAAAAATTAAAAGGATTTATTTCCAGTTGAGTGATAATTACCTCCCCAAAATCCTTTGTAAAATAATCATTAAAATCCCAACATTGTGATTGAATAACAACCCAACTGATCGATATGTTGGTGGGATGTTGCGTTGTCGTCTCACAATTTACTAAAATTAATTTGTATTAAAGTAAACAAAGAGGTGTTTGTTGTAAATTTTAATTACGTTTTATGAATATTTGTGTCCCATTAAATAAGCTTTTGGAGATTAGTAAATCGGTGTGATCTTTTGTTAGGTTACAATCCCATTTTCCCTCATCTGGTAAGCAATCGTTTAACCCAATTAAATTTAATGCTATTATCATAAAAAGTGTGCATTTTTCGATGTTGTTACGGGGCATTTTTATCATTTCAACATAAATCCACCCCACTAAAATGAACGTCACTTGAATTCACCAAACTTTGAAGAAGAATTGATTTTATCGTAATCATAGAAATTTATATGTTTATAACCAATTAATTTTATGGAAAATGTATTGTTATTCGTATTATTGTCCACATCACCGTTTTTATGTTCAGTTTCATTTTTATTGTGATTTCATCGACACAAATTATTTTGGATTGACTTAAAAAAAGGAATCTGTAATTATACGTCAATTCAATAAAACCACTAGATAGCAGGACTAATTATTATTAAATTTTAATTATTTATTTGTTATTTAAAAAAATTAAGTAAAAAATTGAATACGTTTTTATTATAAACAAATTCTTACACACACATTAAAAAAATATGTGTTGAGGCAAAATAATGAGAATTCAACTCGATTATAGTGCTTTGATTCATACAAATTTTATTTATTTCTGTTTATAACGAACTATAAGGAAAATGTATCGTTATTCGTATATTTGTCTAGATTACCGTTTTTATGTTCCATTTTATTTTAATTTTTGTGATTTCGTCGATAACAATTATAGGTTGTTTTAAAAAAAGAAATCTGTAACTATACGTCAATTCAATAAAACCACTAGATAAGATAGCAGGGCTAATTATTATTAAATTCTAATTATTTATTTATAATTTAAAAATTAAGTTAAAGATTGAATATTATACACACATTAAAAAAATATGTGATGAGACGAAATAATGAGAATTCAACTCTATTATAGTGCTTTGATTCATAGAAATTTTATTAATTTCTGTTTATAACGAATTGTAAGGAAAATGTATCGTTATTCGTATATTTGTCCACATTACCGTATTTATGTTCCATTTCAAAAAAAAGAAATCTGTAATTATACGTCAATTCAATAAAATCACTAGATAGCAGGGCTAATTATTATTAATTTTTAATTATTTATAATTTAAAAATTAAAAAAATTAAGTGAAAGATTGAATACCTTTTTATTATAAACGAATTTTTATACACACATTAAAAGATATGTGTTGAGTCGAAATAATGAGAATTTAACTCGATTATAGTGCTTTGATTAATAGAAATTTTATTGATATCTGATTATAACAAATTATCAGGAAAATGAATAGTTATTCGTATTCTTGTCCACATTACCGTTTTTATGTTCTATTTGATTTTAATTTTTGTGATTTCATCAACAATTAAGTTGATTTAAAAAAAGAAATCTGTAATTATACGTCAATTGAATAAAACCACACATTCACAATTTAAAAATTAAAAAAAAATAAGTTAAAGATTGAATATGTTTTTATTATAAACGAATTTCTATACACACATTAAAAAAAAATATATGTTGAGACGAAATAACGAGAAAATATTAAGATATTTTCAAAAAATTATTTCTATTCTTTTTTAAATCTAAAATAAACATAAATTACCTTTAATTATAAAGAAAAAAAACATATTTAAAAAAGTTCTCTTGATTATGTAATCATTTAAGTTGTCATCTCACCATAGAAGAAGAAAATAAAAAAATTAGATCATTAAAGGCTTCCATCTCGATTACCAGGCACAGAGCTTGTTGTAGTGCTCTGATTCGCTGGTGGAATGGAGTAAATAATCGACCGAATCAATCCATCCCTCACAGAATCCCCCAACTGCCCATTTCCGAATGTAAAAATCATCCCGTTCGATGATGACATTTCTGTGTAGGTACCAATTGGATACCAACCAATTTTATTTAAAACAACACCAACTTTATATACCTAAAAATGAAATAAAACAAACTTTAATTATATATTTATTAATTAAATTTAAACTCACCTTAGCTTTTTGTATATAAAACGGTCTATTAAACGATATATCAATTAACGATCGGTATTTAACTCGGCTTGTAAAATGAGTGTAAGTTAAGCGACTTCCATCCGCATCCAATAAATGAGCATACAACAACTCGGAATATGTACTATTACTTATCGACTGTTGTTGTCGATCTTCAACGTCGACCAAAATTTGAGATGGTACTTGAATTCCATGCACACAAATATTTTTATCACAAGTAAACGTAACGGCGCAATCTAAAACGCTCGTATTCATGCACTCAGTGATTCTTAAAAGTTGCCGATTGCAGTATTGTTTAGGCATTGGCTCGCCGTTTCCGTTCATTCCCGACATTGACGAACTCCCCGGTTGATTTGGAAATGATATCATTGATGTCCTTGATGTATCCATTAAATATCCTTGCTACAATTTCAATTAATTAATAAAATTAAATTAATAAATACTTCCTTTGTACCAAATTATGGTATACAGTTCGAGAATTAACGAGTACATTTAATATAATCTAATGTAATTTTAATTTAATTACAAGATACTCATTGTGTCAAAATTATGGGAGATATTTGTCACGAAATGTACAAAAGAGATACTGGAACTTTACAGTTCTTGTTACAACACAAAACCGACAGCAAATTGAAGCGCGGTGTTATTGGTCAAGCTAAAAGGTCATACTACATCACGCTGTACGAAGCAGTACCAGAAAAGCGCTGTAAAAGCAAACGGTTAATCACTAAAGTTATGTTTATGGCTGCAGTGACCAGACCACGCTATGACAGTGCCAGAAAACAGTATTTCAACGGCAAAATAGGACTCTGCCCTTTTGTTTATAAAGAACTTGCAAAAAGAAACAGCAAGAACCGGGTTAAAGGAACAATGGTGAATAGTCCTCATTTGAATGTTTTAGATCTTGGCTTCTTCAAAGCTATTCAGTCTTTGCAGCACAAAATCTTTAAAAACTATGCATAACGATGCATTAATAGATTGTGTAGAAAGTGTATTTGACGCATTAACTAAAGAAAAATTAGATAAAAAAGAAGAGAAAAATTTCATTGTCAAAACTTTTAGAGAGAGTCTTGAAAAGGCAACTTAGAGCACAGTGCGAAAGTCATAACATACTGCCTGATCAATAATCTGGGTTTCGTTCTTGTTTCTGCTTTATTTGTTTGTTGTTTGGTTCTTTTGTTGTCGTTTTGTTTTCGTTGGTCTTTTGCTACGCTTTTTCTTCATTTACTTGTATTTTACTTTCATTTTTTTTTTCTTGTTTTTGTGTTTTTGCTTTTGCTTTAGTTTTTTTTGTGTGGTTTTTGTCGGGTTGTTTTGATTTTTTGTCGGTTGTTGGTCAGTTTTTGTGTTCTTTGTGTTTTTCTTGTGGTGTTCCTTTTGGGTCCACTATTCTTCTCTATTTATACATCTGATTTTAACCAAATTCTTGAGCATTCGCAGATTCATACAGCTTCTGCTGAATTTTAATCCAAATAATTGGGATGATGCCTGCATAAAATTTAACTCAGATGTAGCATTATTTTCTGACATAAACTTGTGCTTAATCCATCCAAGTCTTCTGTGGTTCTGTTTTGCAGTAGTGTCACAAGGAGAGCAATTAAACCTTTGATTTCTGGTTAATTGGTGGTGGATGGTGAACCTCTTACTGTTTCTGGTGATATAAAAATTTTAGGAGTTATATTGGATCATCAGATGAGGTTTGAGGAGCATGGCCAGGTGCTTAACAGGTGGGTATGGCGCCCTCCGTCTCTTGTTTGCCCATAGGGATGTCTTAAATAAAAAATTATGCTAGGTGATAGCTTGGTTCTAAGCAAATTAAATTACTGCGGCGTTGTCTATGGTCCAAATTTAACGTGGGCGTCGTATCCAGAAGAACAGACGTAAATTGCATGCAACTTGTGTTTATTATAAAATTATTAAAAATCAACGGCCTCCTTACTTGCTGCAACGCCTGTCTTTCAGAAGCGATGTCCATAATATTAATGAAAGAAGGAAAGATGTATTGATGGTACCACGCCGCGCCTCGTACCGATCCTTTTCCTACCAGATAGCCAAAACGTACAATGATCTACCGGTGAATCTTATGGGATTGAGCTGTATTTCGTCCAAGAGTAGGTTAAAATCCTCCCTCCTGCTTGAGTCATCATGATTTTTGGTTTTTTATATTCTGAGCTACTAATGTTTCTTTGTTAGCATCGCTTTATACTGGCATGTCGTCGTATTTTCTTATTTTGTTTTTATTACTATTATTATAAAGATTTTCATTTCAGTTTCATATACAGGGTGTGTCAAATGTCTGGAATATAGCCAATAACTTCGCCGATTGTAGTTTTAAAGAAAAATATTTCAAATGAAAAATTCTTTATTAATTGTGGCGCATTTTTTGGCGATACTTGCTTGTTTACTTGATTGTTCTTTGTTTCGTTGCTATGGCAACCAATATTGTTATTTTAAATGGGATGTATATGTTTTTTTTTGCACATTTTAATTGAGGATAAATCTCTTTACGAGATGAACATATCAATTTATATGGTTGTATTAGAAAAAATCGAGAAAAATTGCGTTTGAAAGTCTTAAATGCGCCGAAATAACGCCTTGACAGCTTTAAATGTCAAAAAATTGACAGTTAATTGCCGTTTTGTTATTTGTTTTGTTTCCAGTGGTCTTATTGTGTTTTGTTGGCCACTTTTTAAGCATGCCAGTAATATTTCTGCCAGTCTCAAGCCTAGTAAAATACGAGGGGAAGGTGGCTGGAGCTGCGAAATAAGTATCTATAGTTAAAAACTGAAAAATCGGGAATATCTCCAAAACCGTTGAAGATAGACACTATGATACCTGTATAAAATTGAAAGGAAATTAAATTTTACATCCAGTTATGCAAAAACTGGTACAGTGTTCCATTTAAAAAAATTAAGTTATCCATGATTAAAAAGTTCGCAAATTACAGATCCCTACTTAAGAACTGCATAATATAAATGCATACTTTTTGTATTAGCAAACGTGTGCTCTTTTATTATTAATCCAAAACAGAAAACCAAATCTTTCTAGCATTCACAGTTTCAGCAATATTACCAAATTTATAAGACGCTGCAAATGTTATTTTTTTTTTCGAAAATCGTCATATAATTCAAAAACGATACCAGTCTAACTGGTATCCTTAACAAAGTACCATTGAAATTTCACAAAGAATCAAAAAATGCAATAATATACAGGATGTTCTATTTAAAATAACAAAATTGATATTCTTTTCTGGTAGAAGCGGAAGTCTGCCCTTACCGAAACTAATTTTAAAATATGTACAATATGATGCGAAAATTCGGCATCAAAATTTTGAAAAACACAATCTATATTTTCTATATATTCTGGATTAAAGTCCCTAGATTTACAAAGTACCGCGGTTCATGACGCCTGTTTTCGAGCCAAAATGGCGGTTTGACAACTTGTCACGCATCTCACCACTTATTTACAAAAATATTGCTGTCTTGTTGCCTTTGGTGTTGCAAAAATAGCAGTAAGAACTTTCGACTCTTAAGAGTACAACGAGAAAAAAGAATGGAGTTTTGGTGTAATGTTATCAACAGAACGACAGAGTTTTAAATTTCCCGCTTGACTTTCGAGCCAAAATGGCGGCAAACCGTGGTAGTTTGTAAATCTAGGGACTTTATTCTGGATTAAGTGGAAGAGCAGTTGGTTAATAACCGAACTAAACTTCGTCCAGAAAATAAGTCTATTTTCTAAGAATGTATTATTATATTTTTCTTTTTTCTTCTTTTTGCGACTTGCGACAAAAGTGCATGAAGTGAACCATGATCGCCTCAGGAGGCAACAACTATAAAATTGAATAAATTTGAATCTGAGCATGCTACAAAAAAACTTTTCGAACAAAAGTTGTAGCAAATTGTATTCTTAACAAAATTGCTCTCTTACACTTTTTCTCTCAGACGCACAAATATCGAGAAAAATATGAAAATTTATGAATAAAGAAAAACTTCGCCACAAAGGGGCGTTTACCTGTTTCTATTATGTGTAACCAAACTGCCATTGAAATAGGTGAATACACATTTAAATGTCTAAAATTTTCATTAATGTATGTTTAAATTAAGTTACAAATTGAATTATTAATTTAACAAATACAATAAAACAGTTTTCAAAGTTTTGTATACCATAATTTGGAACAAATTGTAAAGAAAAATGTATACCATAATATGGGAGAGAGGGATTATAAATTTAAAGTATTAATTAACCTTAAAAAGAATTTCATTGTTTGATGATCCGCTATTTCTGCGCCTTCTTGAAGCTGCGCCTGAAAATCCATCCGGCATTTGAACAGCTGTACTTGGAGAGGAAATGTTCATCAAAATGGAGAATTTTTCTTGTTGGGTTAATAAGTTGGAGGCGGCCGGGCCTTCGGCAAATTGCTGTGGGCTTAAAGTTAAGAAGCGAATTTTAACTAAAGCATCTCGGATCGTCGGGTATCTAGGGACAGCTCCATCTATTGAGGAATTTCCTATAAGAAAAAATTAGTTAATATTTATTTTTAATAAAAAAAATTTAATGATACAAAAAATTTTGGCTCATTTTACTTTTATTTAAGAGAAGAAAATTAAAACACTTCTATTACCAATACCTTCTAGTCTAGGTACTTTCGCACCTGTACTATGATTATGACGAGCCGCATATCTTGTTAGGGCGTTGAAAAGGTCCAATTCGGAGGTGATATTTAAAATTTCTTGTTCGAAAATCGTTATGATGGTGCTGATCTCGGCGTCGTCAAAACTACTCTCGCTTAACACTTCTTGCGTTTGATTTCTGATGATCTAAATGCTTAATTAAATCCTTTGTTTTTAATCAATTAATTTTTTACCTGTAAACATTTATCCATTAAAACGGGCTCCTCAAACAACTTGGCAAACTCGTACGCTCTACAAGCATTCTTAGGGAACAAATCGGACCATAAGTACTTGGTACATTCCTCGACAAGATGTGGCAACATGTATTTTTTCGCCCCATAACATAACTCGCAAGCTTGATCGAACGAGGTTAAATTAATCTTATCGGTGTAAATGTATTCCAGTAATGCTTTAAAAGCGTCTGGTTGAACGTCTAAGATCGCGATGGGATCCTTTTCGGCCATTCCCCCATAAAACATTGCCTCAAAAACTGGACTGGCCATCGCCAAGAACAATTTATGACCCTCCAGGACCTGCTGGTTAGGCTCTGTACCAACAATGAAGCGGCAATCGCTCCAAACGCCCGTCTCGAGAAGATAACTACCCCTTTCTTTCACTTCGCGCCTGGTGGTCTGCCAGTCGCATGGTGGTGGTGGTGCGCTCATTTTTAACTTTCTTTTCTCACTTTTTTTATTACTTAACGAATGCGTAATTTTAATGCGTTAGATTAAGTAAACGCGAACATAATACGTTATTTCCAAAATTAAATAGCGGGTACGGTTTGGCTCTTTGCCATAAATATAATAGTTTAGAATTAGACGCAAATATTAGCAAACAACCTCTTTTAGACGTCAAACTGTCAAAACGAATAAGTCAATTTCACTTTTATTACCAACCTAATTTTTTTTTTAATTTAAATGAAATATATTTTTCTAAAATTAAATTGAAATTATTCCGATTATTAATCAAATCTTAATAAATTTAATAAAACATTTCGTATTACTTTTATTTACTAATTAGAGATATTAAAAAAAAAATCAATAATTCAACGTGAATTTAGCCTCAAAGAAACGTCACATCGCTTTGATATTCAGAATAAAAATGTGTAACTTTCTTACATTACTTTTTGTAATACATCTTATTTATGTAATTAATTAAACTGTGATTGAGTATAATACGTAACAACGTAATTGCTTTAAAATAATGTGATTAAATAATTTAATACAGTTCCTGGTAAAAAGAATTTTTGGAACATGGAGAAACCGAACGATTCAATTTTAAGGACAATCCTAGCTACGAGAACACCAGCTGTTCCAGCTCCAGATTGGTCCGCGCCAAATACATCTAAATCCGAAATGCTACCCCCTCAAAACGTAAATTCCGCAAAATAAAAACGATTTCATTCATAACTTTTTTTCTTTTTTAGTTGATGATGAAATCGCACTCTAATATGACCGTGGCGATTCCGGGAGCCTCAACATCTGACCCATTTGTTAATATAACTCTTCAGTATGTTAAATCACCACTTACAAGATATTAAATAATTATACTTTTTAATTTAGAAATTGTGTTTCAACCGTTGATGTTGGATGCCAATTAGATTTGATGACCATTAATTTTCGAACAAGAAATTCTGAATATAATCCAGCTAGGTTTAATGGGGTTGTAATGCGAATAAGAGACCCCAGGACAACCGCTCTTATTTTTAAAACGGGGAAAATAATCGTAACAGGAGCGCGAAACGAACACGACGGTTTATTAGCATCAAAAAAATTCGCCAGGATTATCCAAAAATTAAATTTTAATGTAAATTTAATTTTTTATTGTAACAATTTAGTTTATCGTTTTTTCTTTTAGGTGAAATTTACAAAGTTTAAAGTTCAAAACATTGTTGCTTCTTGCGACTTAAGATTTCCAATTAAGTTGGAGAATTTGAATCAAATACACGGCCAATTTAGTAGTTATGAACCTGAATTATTTCCTGGTTTAATTTATAGGATGGTTAAACCACGATTGGTTCTTTTAATCTTTGTGAATGGCAAAATAGTTTTTACCGGCGCGAAAACAAGACAGGATATTAAGGAAGCTTTTGATAATATTTATCCAATTTTGAAAAGTTTCAGAAAGAATTAATAAATTAATTTAAAAAAAATTAAATCGTTTTCTTTTATGTCAAATTTTTTTAAGGTTATGTTAAAATAAAATCAAAGTTAAGTGACGTAACCTCAATTTAATAAAAGTTATTTTAATTTTTTATATTATTCGTTAATATATAAATTAATTACGAATTTACTTAGTATATAAACATTTATTACAATTAAATCACTCAGCTTCATTCAAAAAATTAATCGACAACAATCAAAAATTATTTCTAGTATGAGCTTTATACGGTCTATTCCGTCCCCTTCTAAGTTCCACGATCCATGATATTAAGGTAGCTTTTAATAATATTTATCGATTTTTGAAAAGTTTCAGAAAGAATTAATAAATTAATAATTAATTAAAAAGAAAATTAAATCGTTTTCTTTTATGTCAAATTTTTTTAAGGTTGTGTTAACATAACCTCAAAGTTAATTGACAACCTCGATTTAGTAAGTTTTTTTAATTTTTTATATTATTCGTTTATATATAAAATAATTACGAATTTATTTAGTATATAAATATTTATTACAATTAAATCACTCAGCTTCATTCAAAAATTGACTTGAAACAAACAATCAAACATTATTTCTAGTATGAGGCTTATACGGTCTATTCCACGATCCAGGATATTAAGGAAGCTTTTGATAATATTTATCCAATTTTGAAAAGTTTCAGAAAGAATTAATAAATTAATTAAAAAAAAAAATTAAATCGTTTTCTTATGTCAAATTTTTTTAAGGTTATGTTAACATAACCTCAAAGTTAATTAACATAATTAATTTAATGAAAGAATTTATTTAGTATATAAATATTTATTACAATTAAATCACTCAGCTTCATTCAAAAAATTATTCGAAACAACAATCAAAAATTATTTCTAGTATGAGGTTTATACGGTCTATTTCCGCCCCTTCTAAATTCCACGCCTTGTCCTTGATGATGATCCTTTTGGCGATTAGCACCGAATTGCGTACAATCACCTCGTAAAACTTCCTCAATATTTCCATAATCGTTAAATTGTACGACACAAGTTTTATCGGTTACTGCGGTAATCGTGGCAGCGTAAAATTTATTATCTTCCCAATACTTAGCCAAACATTGATCCCCAATTTTCCAAGATGTTAATTTCGTTTCGTTCGATTCTAAATTTAAATGTTGTTTTAAGCTTCTCGATGCAAACTCACTGTTTAATGATAACTTAGACATTGAATTTGAAAGTGAATCAGTATTTTTTTGTAATATTTTTTCTGGATTTTTCTCGGTGTTGAAGGATTTTTGGTCACCTTTTTCTAAATGCGGTTTCTGGTTGTAATGATTTTGATTATCTTTAAAATAATTTTGGTTATCTTTATAATAATTTTGTTGCGAAACCTGTTTAAATTGATTTTCGCGTTTATTATAATGGTTATTTTGGTTTTGATACGAAGAATTTTGATTAGAATAACGATTTCGTTGATTCTGATTAGGTCTTGTTGCATTAAAATCATTACCAGAATAATTTTTGTATGGTTTTTGATGAAAATTACTGTTATTAGCTTGAATTAAATCATTTTCTTCAGTTTGAGGTAATTTAGTTTCTAAGAAATCAAATAAAGAAATTTTTTCGGATGGTTTTTGTTGCTTTTCTTCAAGGATGATTTCTTTTTTATTAATTTTACGTTCTTGCCGAGGTTGAGTATTCCTTTTAGGCTCAAACGGTTTTTGTTGGGCTAAATTTTGTTGTTTAACTCCACCTCCAAAAACTTTTTTAGTAGCTCCGGTTGCTACCCCGGCAATTGCATCTTTTCTTTGCATATCAAATTCGGTCATTTCTTTATTTTTTTCTTTTTCTTCAGCTTTTATTGAATGCAATTCAGCGGCTGAAATGATCCTTTTTCCAAAATTAACCCAAGGAGGTGGCCCTTCCCCATTATGTTGACTTCGTTGCTTTAACAACGACTTATTTAACTCCCATTTTTCATACAAAGCGGCTACTTTGCCCCCCAAAAACTGGCAACAACTCGAATCTAATAATAAATATCCAAATTCGAACGTAGCCGAGTTAATTAAAAGTTTCGTCCCCAACGGAGTGTTTGAGTAACTCAAAGAGGGTATTGAGCTGATTTCGATTGCCTCACAATATTTTTGACCATCGGTTAATATTAATTTAAGCATCCGAGGGGCAACTTGGGAATCTTGATTACTTTTTGCAGCGGATATGTTTTTAATCTTTTGTATTTGCAGAATTACGTTTTTAATTGTTGATTTATTTAAATCGGAAGGCAAAGAAGGTTTGCCGATGTCCTTTAAGTCGTTCTAAAACACAAAATTATTATTTTATTAAATTTTGATTCATTTTTACCATATTTACATCTAAAGCGTTTTGAATTAAAACGCGTAAATCGTTTATAGAGCCATTATTTGATATTATTTTGTATCCTTCATCCGATATGTGCCTAAAAATAATCTGAATTAGCCTTAGAAACAAACATAACCTAACTGTTACCATCCTTTCTCGAGCATTGGCTGGATCATCTTATCTTCTGTGCGTCTCTATATATAGATAACACTTTATAGCTTATAAATAATGTTTTTAAAAAGTTAAATAGACAAGATTTTTCTTCCCAAATTGAATGAGTACCAGTTAAGTGGCCCACACAACTCGGAAATGACGCACGTTGTTATAAATTGTATAAATCCCTAAGAATTTTACACAATTTATTATTAGTTTTCCACTTCATTTACACTTTAAAAGGAAATTAACGAAAATATTTCGATTTTTCTTTACAATTTGATGACGATTTGTCAAGTTTGACGTTTTAACATAACCTTGCAAAAATACAACACTACAATTTTAAACCACTTTTAAGCCATACGTATAAAAAACCATATAAAAAAAATGTTATTAATAGATTTGGACGATTTAAGGATTCACGCTAAATTTAAACTTCATTTCAAATTATTTTTTGATTTGACGTCGAGGTAAGGTAAACATAACCTAAAATATTTTTGAGTATACAGGTTGCATCAAAAGTAAACAAAAATTACCTTTCAAATATATTTATAATCGCTAATTAATTCATATTTACATTATTAGCATTAACAAATTACATAATACATGTGTTTTCACTAACATTATTATAAAAAATAATAAGATATATTCATCAAAAAGCTTAATATTATAAACAAAAATTACAATTCTTGTTTTAATCAGTGCGAAAATTTTAAACTCTTTTATTCCCTTCTCAAATTATCTAATCGTGCTTGTAAATCTGCATCAGCATCTGAAAGTCCTCCATTTCCAGCTCCGGCAGCTACAGCAGCTGGTTGTTTAGCCGCAGCTCCTGGTAAGCTTCCTGAAGTTTGAGGTAACCCTGATAATTGATCGCCTAATTGAAGTCCTAATTCATCTAAAACTTGAGTAACAATCGCGTCAGTTTCTTCTTCATCTGCATCATCGGCCATTGCATCATCCATAGCATCATTCATAATTTCTTCTTTCATATCCATAATTTCACTTTGTTTCTCAAACTCTTGTAATATCCTTTGAATTTGCGGTAAATTTAATTGCCTATTCATAGTTTGCATCGCTTTCGTAACACCTTTCATCGCTTGAGCCATCGCATTTTGCGAGCGTAAAGTTTGAATTTTAAGCGAAACAGCTTGGATGTTGGCCTTCATTAGCATAAATTTCTTCACCGAACGTCTAGTACGAACGAGATCTTTTGCCATGATTTTTACAGCGTCCATTTGACCCTCTTTAGCCATTTTTTTAATATCGGCTATTATCTTTTTCTCCTGCTGTTCCATTTTCATTTTTTCACGGTCCAAATCGCGCATCGCTTTGTTCAGCGCCCGCTGATTTTTGCGTAACATTTCTTCGGGAGTTAATTTTTTACCAAATAACCACTCCATTTTTGCTGAAACTTAAATTTTATTAAGTAAAAAAGAACGAGAAGTTGAGTTGAGTTAAAAACAGGAATGATTCACAGTTGACATTAGTCAGATCAAAATATGTCAATGTCAAACAACTTAAAATAACTAAATGTTACTAGAATTTACCACTAGAATCAACTAGAATTGTATACATAACCTATAAGTCTTCTTTCATTTCGTGTTCTACTTATTTATTAAGTGATTTTTAAAAAAATGGTAGAACCGACGATGTTTAACGTGTTTAAAACGGTGTTTTATTACTCGATTTTTATATTATTAGCGCCGATTTCCTCCTTTTTCTTAGCAAAAGTATTCTTTTTTGATGGTGAGTAAACTTTGATTGTGCGGTATAAATCACGTGATCATAACTCAATTTGTTTTTAGGGGTTTTGGGGACTTCTAATGTTACTTCAAACGTTTGGTCTGCGGTTATTGCGGTTGTCGTGCTTCATATTGCTTTAGGTCTTTATATTTATAAGGCGTATTCCGATCAAGGCAAAACCAAACCTGATAAAGATGATAAAATGGATTAAAAATATTTATTTTTTGTTGGTATTTTTTATTGTTTAATATTTTATAATTTTAGTGAAATAAAATTGATTTCATTAGTGGTATTTAGTTAATAAAGAATTTTTATGGTAAATTATATCGCCATCTTTAAATTGTTTTATAAACGCCTAAATTACAGTTTCCTGTATTAAGAAATATCGAATTCGCATTTTTTTTTTGTTCGAAACTTTATTATTCTGTAATACTATAATTACATAAATAAATTTAGAAGAATTTGCATAATTTATTTTAAAATTCCCCTATACGAATCTCATAAATTAATTTTATTGAGGTTAGATCGAATTGCGTTTATTAATCAGCACCATCTATTGCGCGATATAAACGATAACAAAGGAAGTTCAAATTACAGGTAAAATCCTCTATTCTATTCATTCTATTTCTAATTTTCATCCTTGTTGTGGTCGTTGTGGTAGTTGTTCGTTTAGACTACTTTTTATTCAAACATTTTTTCGTTTCATTTCATATAAAGCTTATTTTAAAGAACAAGTCTAAACGCGTTTGATCGAAGTAGTCGTAAGGTAAGTTATTCATTTGTTTTTTTTTAAATTAAGGTTATTTTTTATAACCTAAAAAAATTTGCTTATTTTGCATTTAATTTAATATAATCATGGTTAATATTGTAGCAATGGAACAAGTTTCGAATCCTCGAGGGCGCGGGGCTCTTCTCAAGGCATTACGTGATATGAATATTAGTAAACCGGGGGAGCAAACTCAAAAAAGTGAGGAGCCCCCGAAACCTCGTGGTCGAGCTGCGATGTTGAATCAACTTAAAGCTTTACGGGAACAAGTTGGGCCTCAAACTAGCTCAACTAGTGATTTAAGCACAAAAGAAGAAGTTGAACCAACTATTTGTTCGTTTAAAGGTGATTTTTTTTTAATGTTTATTTCAAATTGTAATATCTAATTGTTTTAGGTTCTTCGGGTAAACCGATCTATGTAACAGCCAATTATATTGGACTAGAAGTAGATCCTAATAAGGGTATCTATGAATATGAGGTCATTTTCACCCCGGCTGTTGACTCAAAATTCTTTCGAGTACAAATTTTGAATGAACAAGTTATTAAACGTGGTTGGATTAAAATGTTCGATGGTGGAAGTGTTCTTTATCTTCCTATAAAGCTTTCGGATGTTCAAACAATTATAGAAGGGAATCACCCGAGCGATCAAAGCACTGTAACTTTAACAATTATTTATAAGAAAAAGCGACGGATGTCTCAATGCGTCCATTTTTATAATATTTTATTTAAACGAGTTATGATTGCTTTAGAATACGGGAGAGTTGGCCAAAATTATTACAACATGAACTCTCCATTTATGATTCCACAACATCGTTTGGAAGTCTTGCCGGGGTATGCGCTGGCTGTTGATGAATATGAAGGTGGGTTGATGGTGTGTGTTGATTCTCAACATCGAGTTTTAAGAACTGACACAGCTCTCCAGTTAATATACGAGTTGAGAATGACAGGTCGCGAAAAATATAAAGATTTAATTCAATCGGCTTTACTTGGAGCGGTTGTTTTAACAAAATATAATAACAAGACTTATATTATCGACGATATTATATGGGATGCAACTCCTTCAAGTACGTTTGAAACGAAAACGGGAAAAGTAATGTCATATTTAGAGTATTACCAAGTCCACCATGGGATTACAATCGTGGATAGGCAACAACCTTTATTGTTACACGTCCAGAAAATTCGTACGAATACCGCGGAGGGTGTGGCCGAACGACAGATTATGTTGGTTCCAGAATTGTGTACATTAACCGGATTAACTGAAGAAATGAGGGGGAATTATCGGGTTAATTAATTTTTTTTTGTTGAATTAATTAAATTATTTAAATTTTGTTTTTTAGATTATGAAAGATGTAGCGATGTATACTCGAATAACCCCACAACAACGCATGGAGGCGATGCGAAAGTACCAAAAAAATGTTGCCGAATCTGAAAAGGCACAAAAAATCTTAGCTGATTGGGGTTTAAAATTAAAATCGGCCAATATCGATTTAAACGCGCGAATTTTAAACAATGAGGTAATCGTTTTTGGGAATAATCAACAAAGACCATGCGATTCCAAAGCAGATTTTACCAGGGATGCTATGAGGAATCCGGTTGTGTCACCTGTTCATTTACGGTCATGGGCTGTTGTGTTTATTGATAAAGATAATCGGTTAGATTTTGGTTTAATTACACAAAAAAACTTTTTCGATACTGAAAGGCGATCTTTATTGATTTTTTGGGTGCTGAATCTGGGAATAATAATGAAAAATTTCCATCACTCTTAATTTTTTCCTATTTCCTTTGATTATAATAAAAGAGAAACATTACAGACCTTGGTACCTACTTCAGTGTGAGACTTGGGGACCAGGACAAATCATGGATACCTCACAAAAGTGTTTTATATTTGTGTGGAAGGAACCTCAAGAAGTGTGGAGGGAACCAAAAAATTACAGTGATGACTGTTATTTTTACTACTATGATTTTAATTGCTATAACTCTAACTCTGCTACACCTTTCTTCTGCAATGCGACCTGTAGCTCATGGACCAGATGTGTCTCTACCTCAGCCTCCACCAACACTAAGTGAGATGAGCTCTAGTGAATTTGATGTGAATGAAGATGACTGTGATTTCCAAGATCCTTCAGATTATGCCACCCCACAACTTTTCGCTCAATCTGAGCTTAATGATTTGGTGAGACACTTGAGACTTACTAAAGAGAATGCTGAACTCTTGGGTTCTACATTAAAAGAAGAAAAGCTACTGGCTGCTGGAACATCTTTTTATTAGTACAGATTATTAGTACAGAAGGCGAGTTGGTCTGGTGTTATGATGTTCCTGGTTTAAAAATTTGGAATTGAATCCAAAGCTGGTAAATGGAGGCTTTTCATTGATTCTTCAAAAAGTAGCCTGAAGGCTGTACTCCTGCACAATGGTAACACATATGCTTCTCTTCCTCTAGGGCAATGTTTTTCAAACTTTGTCATCGCGCGGAACCCAAATTTCCGGATATTCATCCATTAATTTTATCCAAAATGGACCAATGCCATCATGTGCAAATGTAGATTTTAATGTAGTGTCGGTACTTATATCTATAAGTTGATCTTTTTCCTTAATTGGGAAGGTATCCACACCACTGCACTCATTAAAAGGATTTTCAACCCAACTTAAATTATTTTTACTTTTGCAAGCCAGTTAAATGTTCCAAAATATTATTTTTTTAATTCTGGTCGAATACGATATTATTGGTTGCTAAGAAATCGTTTAAATTAGCAAAACCCTCTGTACTATTTTTGGTGATGCATTCCTTCCAAAGCTTAAGTTTAAATTTTATCGAGTTTACTTTACTATCGACCTTAAAAATTGTAGTATTTGGTCCTTCAAGTGAAAGATTAACGTCGTTCAGATACGAAAATATGTCTGCAAGGTCGGCTAAATTTTGAAGCCAACTAGTGTCATTAAGTCAAGGATTTAGGGTCACAAGAACGTAACTAGATATTTTCATGAAAATGACTTACGAGTATTTAATTATAATTATAATGCACAAAATCATTAGAAAGTAGCTTCAATCTATTTCTCTACAAAATACCCAGTTTTAAGCTAAAAATTACCATTGAATTCGTCCTTGCATTAGTAATAATACCTATTAAATATTACATTTTCTGAAGCTTTCTTGAAAACTCAAATTCACGTTCAAGATACGAATTTCATCAAGTAATTTCCAGAATGAGGTTAGAACCTTTCCCCTGGATAACCACTTTACATCAGTATGAAAAAGGAGATTTTTATGTAAGCTTCCCAGGTCATCACACAATAAAGTAAATACCCTGGCATTTAAGGGTCTGGATTTGATGAAATTAACCATTTTAGCTAGCCTTGATGTCCGAAACTAGTTTCTTTATACGTGCTATTACGCCTTTTACGACACCAACCATAGCTTTGTGTATATTTTTCGAAGTAAACATTAAATAAATTAAATATTTCCTCACCTGTTGTTTGAGCTGACGAATATTAACAAAATTGCTAATACAGTGACATCTGTAGATTCATCCATTTGTAAAGTAAAGCCATCTTTAGCGTGTTTCAAACGATTCATTAGTTCCGCTTCGCAGAAATCTGACATGTCTTTAATTCGTCGTGAAATCGTCGCATCAGATAACCAATCATGGATATGATTAGGTTTAATCAATTTTTCTGCTATTGTATAAGCTTGGCCTTATTTAGCTACGTGCAGACTAATTAAATACGATGCTTTTAGTACATTTTTATTATCATCACGAACATACCTTTCAAAGGTATTCATATTTGCTTTAACTTTGCAGAATTTAAACTGCTGTTGTTCACTACTTTCTCACATATTACACAAAACCCATTTCGATCATTTTTATCGCCCATCCAAGAAATCCAATTCATATAATCATCATACTTTCGTTTTTTTTCGGCTTGTTAATCCGGATTTATTTTCTTCTCCACTATTATCTGTTGGCTTTAATGTTGGCGAAAAACTGGTCGAATTTTCAAGAGAACAAAACGCTTGTTTTTGTCATTTTGATTCCAATTTGCCAGTTTGATGCCAATTCTGCATTATGTTTCTGAAAGATTTTAGGTTAGGTTCAAACAAAGCACAATTTATTATAAAATAATTAACTTACTACCGCTTGCCTTTGTGAGAGTTAAACAACAAAATATCTACTTATACACCAAGTATTTGAAACTATTTAAATGTTAAAGTGCATCATCATCGTCAGAACATTGCTCTAGGGTATTCTGTACACCTCATAGAAAATTACAAGAATTTGAAAGAGGTGCTAAATAAAATTAAATATGCAGATCATAACTGGATAGTTTGTGGCGATTTAAAAATGTTGGGCATGATGCTTGGTCTGCAGAAAATACAAAGTTTTACCCATGTTTAATTTGTGAATGGGATAGCAGAGGAAGGAATGAACACTGGACTGAAAAAGTATGGCCAACTCAACAAACATAGGGGCCAGGTGAAAAGAAGGTGAAAATTTGTCTTCCCCATTTTCACATCAAGTTAGGACTCATGAAACAATTCGTTAAAACTTTACCCAACACTGGCGACTACTTTTAATGCCTCTGCACACAGTTTCCAGATTTGTCAGAGGCAAAACTAAAAGAAGGAATTTTTGTGGGTCCTGATGTAAAGTAATATTTGATGAGAAATTTCAGTACACAATGTCAGGTGTTGAAAAAGAAGCTTGGGAGTCTTTCAAAAAGGTGATCACTAGATTTTTAGGGAATGAAAAAAACCCTAAGTATATCAGTATTGTCAATAATCTTCTCAAAAAAATAGAAAAATTTGGCTGCCTGATGAGCATAAAAGTTCCCTTTCTACATTCTTATTTGGATTTTTTCCCTGAAAACTTGGGTAGTACCAGTGAACGTTTCAATCAGGATATTAAGGTCATGGAGAGATATCAGGGTAGTTGGAACGTCAGTATGATGGTCATTTCGCCGAGGGCATCCAGGTGTTACTCACAAGAGGAAAAGTAACAGTCATATTTATACCAGTTAGTTTTAGATTATTGTGTTGAGATGCGGAAAAACTGTTATTTTCAGATTCAGCACCTTTCAAAATTGTTAGATCACCCTAAATAATCCAAAAAGTTTTTATAAAATTAATGTTTGCATATTAATAAGTTTTCAATTAATAAATTTTTTAGGTTAGCAAATGAGTACGTGCAAAGTACGGTTGCTTTGAGTAACACTTTAGGGATGCAAATAAGCCATCCTTATATGTGTTGTTTAAATAACGATAAAACAAGTAGTTACGTTAGTAAATGTCAAGAAATTTCTAAAAATGGGTATCAGGTAATTAATTAAATAATTAAGAAGTGATTTAATTTAATTTATATTCTTAATTTAGATGATCGTTTTTATTTTCCCAAATCTTCGAACTGATCTCTACTCGTCAGTAAAAAAAGTTTGCTGCTTACAACAACCCGTCCCGATACAATGCATCATTTCAAAAACGCTTCGTAACCCAAAATCACTTCGAACAATAATTTACAAAGTGGCGGTCCAAATATTGTGTAAAATCGGGGGTTCACCTTGGGCGCTTCAAATTCCGTGCCAAAATTGGATGGTGATTGGTATCGATGTCTACCACAGTGGAAGTGGGAGCTCGAAACAAGCTGTTTTGGGTTTCGTAAGCAGTTCGAATAACACTTTCACGTCTTGGTACAGTTTGGCTAGGATTCAACGCGGCGAGATTTCGGCTCAATTAAAACATTGTTTCGCGAAAAGTTTAGAGAATTATAAAAATTCTTGGGGACGATTTCCCGATAAAATTATTGTATTCCGAGATGGGGTCGGTGACGGGCAAATGAATTATTGCTCGCAGTTCGAGGTGCCGCAATTCGAGGACGTTATCAAACAATTCGAGTTGAGTATGACGATGACGTTTGTTGTGGTTAAAAAGCGAATTAATACGCGGATTTTTGCCGAAAGTAACGGCGGGTATTCGAATCCTCTTCCAGGGACGATCGTTGACACTACAATCACTCGAAAGTATTTGTTTGATTATTTTTTGGTTCCTCAGAACGTTAATCAAGGTACAGTGACACCCACGCATTACGTTGTTCTTAATAATTCCGCACAAATTAAGCCGGATATTTTACAAAGGTTGTCGTTTAAATTGTGTCATTTGTATTATAATTGGTCCGGGACTATTCGTGTTCCAGCTCCGTGTCAATACGCTCATAAATTGGCGTATTTGATTGGAAATTATGTTGGAAAGGAACCATCAGAGGTTCTTAATTCGCAATTATATTATTTGTAAACGAATAGTTCATTTATCTTAAGATCGAGATTCTGTTTCATTTTTGTAATACTTATTGAGAGTTTAAGATATTTGTTTATTGATTTATAATAAGTTACTTGACTAAGTGTAATTAAGTCTTATTTTTTTATAAAAGTAAATAAATGTTATTTTATATAAAATGTAGTTTATATTATTTTAACATAATTATTATTGCTGCCAGGTATAAGGTCCGTTTTAATTTCAGTCAACTGGTTTAGACATGGGTCATTGAGGATTTCGAGGTGTCCTCTGAGCTGACCCTGCATCAACTTAAGTGAAGAGCATGTTTTCTATGATACAGCCTCTTTTTGTATGTATAAATGAAGTGATTTGAGACAGAGTAGGGCTTCAAGAGCAGCCTTTGAAAAGGGACTATTTCGATTTTGTTTGTATTATTGCTGAGCCCATTGCTTCTGCACCAAGTGCTAGCAAGTAGGAGAGCTTTCTGCATAAGTTGGGTTATGATTGTGTCATATTTACCTTGAATTGTGATCACCAGGTCATCAGCATTACCATGAATCCATTTTTTACCATAGAAGAGGTGAAAGCACTCCCCTTTGGAGACATCCTCTAAGTGCTTTAATAGTCAACAACTCACCTCCCAGGCTGACTGTGATCTGCGGACTTTTCAGCATTGCTATACACCATTTGGTCGTCGACAGAAGATGTTATGAAAACCACCCTTTATGTCTATAAAAGCACATAGGGGCACATATCTCGTTTATTAAAGCATGGAGAGCAGTAATTGTTGATTTTGCTTTCTGATAATCATGTTTAGTGGATTAGTGACCAGCGCTCCATTCCTAAGGTATTGATCGATTACCTTCTCCATCTGTATGCTTTGGGATCTGCGTTTGAACGCCTAGCTGAAGGTATAGCTGGCAATATATAGGGATATTGAGGGGCCCACTGGGGCCTAAGTGCGTGCGTAATAATTACACATACATACATATAGGGATATTATTACTTGGAGTAGGTATTCTAAGCCTTTTTGCATTATATTATTTTAACCTTACTTTTTTATAAATTAAATTTCTAATTTCTCACTAGCGCCCTCTTTTGATAGGTAGTTGTTTCAAATTACAATAATTAAATTAATTCAATAAATAAATAATATTAATATTTAAGAAATGTTGTGTATATAAAATAGGCTAAACCTTAATCTTTCTAACTTTTGTTGTTAAATTATTGTATATTGTTATTGAACTAAAACTCGATCACTAAACCTAGAAATGTTCTGGTTTAGCCGTGTTGATAGACGCAATTTATAGTTCAATATGATACATTAATAATAATAGAAGTGAAAATGAGTTAAATTATATAAATTTAATACAAAAAAGTAAATAATATTTAAACAATAAATTTAATAACGTCTAATTAGCGCCATCTTTCGGCAACTTCGGACAAATTCACCGCGACTATAAACACGTGTTTAAAGATTAATTAATATTTTAATTTTTTTCTAAAATATCTACATAAAATGTTTATAAAAATTAAAAAAACAATTTTTTTTTTTTTGATTTACGAAAATTTAAAGTACAAATTAATTCCAAAACATGACACAACAAAATTAACATTGCCAACTTAACATCAATTTGACATTTATAAAAAATATAAATTATAATTGAAACTTTATTAATTAAATTTTAACAACTTATTTACAAAATTCTTTTAATTTTTTCGATTAACAAATTAAATTACGTTGATTAAAAAAAAATCTCAATCAGTCTTCGAAATGGGTTTGTTCCTGGAAATGGTGTTCGTAATGCCCCAACATCCTTTGGTTCTTCGGATCAAACGGACTCCTAACGTGTAAAATAGCCGGATATCTTTGCCCCATAACTTCGATTTCGTAATTTCCCTTCTTAAGAAACTCTTCGTCTACAACTTTCCCTTTGGGATGTTCGATATAGCCCATACCAATACTACAATCTAAATGATACCCAAATTCGCCCCTTCTTAAAAATCCAACAATGACATCATCCCTCCAGATCGTTTCTAATCCATAAACTGCAACTCGTTTATCGGGGATTGTAAAGAAAACTCTTCTTTTTTTGATTCCTTCTGTTTTCATTTTATCAACTTTATCTTTTCCGATATAAGAACCTTCTTTTCTACAAACAAACCCTAAGTTTGCTTCGACCGGGTTATCATCAGATCTTAAATCGTGGTTCCATAAATGATACCCTTTCTCGCAACTTAAAGAATAAAGAGCTCTGTATCCAGCGTGTCTCATATCGAAACTTGCCCCAGCTTCCGTGAGTTTGTTATAAATCGGGATACAAGAAGCGACGGGGATGTGCAATTCATATCCTAATTCGCCAACGAAACTAATTCTCATCGCACGACAAGTATGGCCGTTTATCGTGATTAAATGAGACATCCCCAAGGGGAAACGATCATCAGTTATGGGAGTTTCAGTGATTGATTGGAGGATTTCACCACTTTTAGGTCCTTGCAACGATAATATTCCTAAACGCTCGGTTACATCGGAAATAACAGCCCGGAAGCCTTTCTTTTCGATTTCATTGCGGAGATGACATGTTGTGTGATAACCTGAGGCTCCTCCAGCAACGATGTAATAACCCCGACCTTTTAAAATTGGTCCAACCAATCTTCCAATTCCCTCTTTTAACGGCATAACCGTTAAATCAGCTTCTACACCTCCCCGATGATTTAACGCGCAGGTATAAATTATTTTATCGGCTTCTTTATCCGTGTTAGCAGTGAAAAGCCAATCCGCTGCTTTTTGGGAATCAGGTCCTGTTAAATAAAGTTTGGCAAAATAAGATAAATCGAAGAGGACTGCGTTGTTTCTGCATGCCAAAGCTTCTTCTCCAATCTAAAACGATTTAAATTAATTAATTGCAATAATAAAAATTAAAATGTTTACCAAATCGTGATTCTTAGAAAACCCAAATGTGTAATCGACTTCTAATTCGTGAACGTATCGTTGATCGTCGTTGATAAGATGGTCGTAATGCCCATACCAATCGTACCCACGAACCGGGGCTGTTCTATCTTTAACGTAATAACCAGGTCTTTCCCAACCTTGAGCTTGTTCCATAACGGCTCCATGAGCGACTAAATTTTCGTGGAACGGCCCAATTTTGAAATTTCTCCCCGATAAAAATTGATCGTGCGGATAAACAACGCTATAATTCTTAACATAACTCTCATGACTAGTCTCGGTAACCCAAGATCTAGAACTTCTCATTTGAGGGGTAAACCGTCGAATATCATAAGCAAACATTGGGAGTTCCGGGCGACCTTTAATAACCCAAGTTGCCATTTCTTCACCACAACCACCCGTTAACATCATCCCGGCGGAATTAAATCCACAACAATGGAACAATCCGACCATTCTTGGATCTTCGCCCATTAAAGGTTTATGATCTGGTGTGAAAGCTTCTGGGCCGCAAACATTTGATTTAATCCCGGCTTTTTCTAATGATGGGCAAAGTTTCGTTGCGTTTTCAATGTGAACGCCGAAAATGCTTTGATCGAGTTCGTACAATCCGAATTGAAAGTTATTGGCGACGTCTTTTAATAATTCTGGATTCGATTCGTAACCGCCGATACAAATTGTGTCACCTTGAATTCGGAAATACACCGAATAATCGTGATCGCGAACGTTCGGCATATTCTTCACTTCCGGGATGCTTTCGGTTACAACGTACGCATGTTTCATCGGGGATAACGGTATATCTAAACTAACCATGTGTGATATATTTCTAGCCCAAGCTCCCGATGCATTAATGACACATTTAGTGTTAATAACTCCGTGCGGTGTTTCAACTCCGGTTATTTTTGTTATTCCCGAACTTGGATCGGTTAGAATGTTCGTTACTGGACAATTTTCGAACACTTTTCCTCCTTTGCTTGTTGCTCCTTTAACAAGAGCAGAACAAAGCATCGTTGGGTCTATGCAACCATCACCTGGACTGTGTAAGGCGGCGGTAAAATTGTTTGGGTTTAAAACGGGTGCTATTCGGACGGCTTCGGATGGTGATAACATGTTGCTATCAATTCCGAAGAAATGACCGATTGTGTGGAGACGTTGGTATTCTTGTACTCTTTCCTAAAACAATTACAAAAAAATGTTAATTAATTTGATCAAAAATGGAAATTTTGGTTATTTTTTCTCTAATCCTAGAAAATTGAGGTAGCTAGGTTGTAATTAGTTATGGATTATGGTACCTTGGTTCAATATAAACAATTTTTGTGTAACTCGTGGTTTTCTATTGATTATAGTTTTTGAGTTGTGATTAATTATTCTAACATAAATCACCCGAAATGGTGATTTTGACGTTTTTCACTTTATATCTAGAAAATGGAGATAGTTAGGCTGTAACTAATTATGGATTAAGCTAGATTGGTTCAATACGAATAATTTTTGTGTATCTCATAGTTCTCTGTCGATTATAGTTTGTGAGGTGTGATGAATTATCCAATATAGGTAAATCCCCCGATATGGAGAGTTTGACGATTTTCGCTTTATACCTAGAGAATGGAGATAGCTAGGCTGTAACTAATTATGGATTAAGCTAGATTGGTTGACTAGGAATAATTTTCGTACATCTTATGGTTCTCCATCGGTTGTAGTTTTTGAGTTGTGATGAATTATCTAATATTTCTAAACCACCCAAAATAGCGATTTTGACAAGTTTCGCTTTATACCTAGACAATGGAGATAGCTAGGTTGTAACTAATTATGGATTAAGCTAGATTGGTTCAATACGAACAATTTTTGTGTATCTCATGGTTCTCTATCGATTATAGTTTCTGAGGTGTGATGAATTATCTAATATAGATAAATCACCCGAAATTTAGAGTCTGACGATTTTTGCTTTATACCTTGAGAATGGAGATAGCTAGGCTGTAACTAATTATGGATTAGACTATATTGGTTCACCACGAACAATTTTCATACATTTCATGATTCTCTATCGATTACAATTTCTGAATACTGATGAATAATTTAATATAAACCCTCGGCAATGGGGATTTTGGCGAATTTTGCTTTGAATCTGGAAAATGGATATAGCTGCTCTATAACTACTAATGGATTAAGTTAGATTGGTTCAATACGAACAATTTTTGTGTATCTCATAGTTCTCTGTCGATTATAGTTTCTGAGGTGTGATGAATTATCCAATATAGGTAAATCCCCCGACATGGAGTGTTTGACGATTTTCGCTTTATACCTAGAGAATGGAGATAGCTAGGCTGTAACTAATTATGGATTAAGCTAGATTGGTTGAATAGCAATAATTTTCGTACATCTCATGGTTCTCCATCGGTTGTAGTTTTTGAGTTGTGATGAATTTCTAAACCACCCGAAATAGTGATTTTGACAAGTTTCGCTTTATACCTAGACAATGGAGATAGCTAGGTTGAAACTAATTATGGATTAAGCTAGATTGGTTCAATACGAACAATTTTTGTGTATCTCATGGTTCTCTATCGATTATAGTTTCTGAGGTGTGATGAATTGTCTAATATAGGTAAATTACCCAAAATGGAGAGTTTGAGGATTTTCGCTTTATACCTTGAGAATGGAGATAGCTAGGCTGTAACTAATTATGGATTAGACTATATTGGTTCACTACGAACAATTTTCATACATTTCATGATTCTCTATCGATTACAATTTCTGAATACTGATGAATAATTTAATATAAACCCTCGGCAATGGGGATTTTGGCAGATTTCGCTTTGTATCTGGAAAATGGATATAGCTGCTCTATAACTACTAATGGATTAAGTTAGATTGGTTCAATACGAACAATTTCGGTGTATGTCATGGTGCTCTATCGATTATAGTTTCTAAGTTGTGATGAATTATCTAATATAGGTAAATCACCCAAAATGAAGAGTTTGATGATTTTCGCTTTATACCTAAGAAATGGAGATAGCTAGGCTCTAACTAATTATGGATTAAGTTAGATTGGTTCAATAGGAACAATTTTTGTATATCCCATGGTTCTCCATCGGTTGTAGTTTTTGAGTTGTGATGAATTTCTAAACCACCCGAAATAGCGATTTTGACAAGTTTCCCTTTCTACCTAGAAAATGGAGATAGTTAGGCTGTAACTAATTATGGATTAAGCTAGATTGGTTGAATACGAACAATTTTCGTGCATATCGTAATTCTCTACCGATTATAGTTTTTGAGTAGTTATGAATAATTTAATATAAACCCTCTGAAATGGAGATTTTGGCGATTCTCGCTTTGTATCTAGAAAATGGATTTAGTTACGCTATAACTAGTAATGGATTATGCTAGCTTGGTCCAATGCGAACAATTTTCGTGCATCTCATGGTTCTCTACCGATTATAGTTTTTGAGTTGTGATGAATTATCTAATATAAACCACTCGAAATGGTGATTTTGCCGATTTTTGCTTTACTTCTATAAAATGGAGATGGATTAATATTTGGGTTGTCTGCAAGCTATAAGCGATAATAACAAGATCGCTCATTTCGAGTTGTAATTTGCAAGATAAAATCGCGTGCTGTTCTGCTGCGATGTAAATTTACATGGAGTATCTTAAGATTGGTTCTAATTCCATTCCTAAAGCTATCTTTACATCACCAAGTTTAGAGCAAATCGAGCATCCCAAAAAATCATAGTGTTTCAAATCAAATCAACGAGATATTTGTTGAAATATTTAAAAAAACACCCAATTATGATATTTAAAAATGCGATTCTAATTGGTAATAAAAATGAAGAAATAAAAATGAAATCATCGAACCAAATTTTTTCGTTATAAATCACAAATTTATTATTAATTCATTATCTTACTACGATTACATAACATTCAAATTCGAACTATTTGGCTGTTTTTACATGTTATTTTAGAAACGAACTGTTCGATTTGAAAGATCTCGAAAATAATGGGTCAAAGTGCAAAGATTCTTACCGCAGTCCGAGCGATAAATAATCCACCATTGTTTATAAACCCCGGATCGACTCCCGTTTCTTTCTCCAAATTCGTTAAGAGTTGCCTCGTTTTCTCTAATAATTGAATTTCAACGTCGTTTGGGCGTAATCTCCAAAACAAACCGGCCGTGTGCCATGTCGTTCCGCAAGTTACTTTCCCTTGTTCTAGTAAAACAGCCCTTACACCTTTTTTACATAATTGATATAATGTGCTACATCCAATACTTCCACCACCTAGAAGTTAATTAAATGGTTTAAATGAATTATGTTCTTAATAAGGATTAGGGTCAAAGTTAAATGCATAAATAATTTAGTTGCAAAATAAATTTACCAATAATAACGACATCTGCTTGTTGAGGAACATTAACTTCCGTTGCCAAATTTTTCGCATCTATTCTTTTAACGTTTAATTTCTTGTGCCTCTTAAAAAAATGTTGAGATGAACGAAACATAATTTTATTTTTCTTTTTTGAATAGTTCAAAATGTACTGTTCAAGTCGACGGACGGCGACGAACTCAATTTGATGAGCGGCTATCCAATAAATTGACTATCAAAACACACCACACACACTCCGTTTTGACCTTCGACGTTTATTTCTTCAGTATCACCAGTAACAAGCGGCTAAAATAATCGTCTCGAGCGCATTTATGTACACACAGACGAAAAGCTGATAAAGATATTGCAAGAAATCGTAAACAAAAGGACAATAAACCGATCATTGTTTATTAAAAAAAATTTATTCTTCATTATCGATTTCTGACGAAAATCATTTGAAATTACGCGAGAAACTGGTTTTTTGAGGGCATTACTTTTACGTTTGCTCTAATTACGCAAAATAACTCTTGTTTATTGCCGTTTTATTGACCTTAATAATTGTTTCGTTCAAGATTTAACGATGTTTCTACGATTTTTAAAAATAGAAAATGAATTGTTTCGTTATTGTTTATAAATTTTTTGCTTCGCCTTTAAACCAAATAAACAATAATTATCTTATTTATCAATGAAGAGAAGTTGAGACACGTGAATTCAAAAATAACTTTGAGATTAACGATTATCAAAATTTAAAGCGAAAAGAATGAAACAAAATTTATCTCATTAAAATTTAGATTAAACATTAAACAAAACAAAAAAAATTTTTAACCATTAAAAGTATACGCTGTTTTTGCCGGATTTTTTGGCCGAGTTATCCCAACGTATCCCACAACTTCAATCGGTCTCGTTCCTGGGAGCACCTCTTTAACCACTTCGGTTAATTCAGCTTGGTAAGATCTAACAGTCGCTGCTGCAGCTTCTTCGGCGAATTCCGGGGGGACTCTTGTAGCTGCATCTTCGGCGGCGCGAACGGCTCCTTCAAACGCCACCATAGCTTCCGCTTTGGCCAACTTTTCCACTGCCGTTAACAACTCTGTCTCTTGTTCGCCTCTTAATCGGCATGCTAAATCAATTCCGCTAACGCTGTGCGAAATTAATTTTTTCTGCTTTTGGTCGCGAGGCGCGCACACACTTTTTTCTGTTATCGAAGCTTGGACGGCTGTTGCAGTATCTATAGACACGTTTAGTTGTGTTTTGTGCTTGTTTAATTCTTTTTCACAATGTCTATCAAACCATGCTAATAAGGTTTCTGGTGGTGCAGGTTTTGGACAAACAAATTTTTCCTGAAATATTATTCATTAAAAAACGATTAAATCAAAAAAAATTAATTACTTTCGGTTTTGAGATAACAACATTTACAAAAGCGTTTGGGTCATACATTTTGTTAAATCTTGAAGTGGTTTGAACTAATAATTTTTATCTAACTAATAAATTCTGGGCTAAAAGAACAAATAACATTGAACGTTGACGTTGTCAAAACGATTTAAACAAATGCTTATGAAATTTGAAAATATTTGTTTTTAAGAATTCTGCATTTAATCGTTTTAAGGAAACTTTAGACACAATGCAGAGAATTATTAATGATTCACTACATAAATATGTAATGTAAACCATTCTTCAATCTTACATGTATTAGATGAGACTAAATTTAAACCATACAAAATACAGATAATGAAAGAATTAGATGATTTTGATTGTAGATTAGAATTTGGTGTATAATGGGTTGCCTATATAATAAACTGTAACCTGATATTCAAATAAAGCATATTGAACCTTTATTGTATTTTATAAGTATATTCTTTATCAAAAACACAACAAAATTTAGTGAGGCAATCATGGAAAAAATTGTTATTGACAAAGTAACCGTTACATCCTATAGAAATGTTAATCAGCGTATTTATTTCTTTGCTCCTTAAACTATCTAATTATTAACTATGTAATGAAAAGGCCATATTTTGGTGTATTTTATTCACATTAAAGTTTTACATTTATTAAACATCCAATTTTTCAATCTCTTTGTTTACCTCAATAATAAATTATTTTCTGTCACTTGTTACCAACCTCATTTTTCGTTTTCTCCCTCCCTCATAGATGACTCTTACATTTTAGATAGTTTAAATATTTTATTCTTACACAATACTTTATAAATTAAATATTTTTATCTTGACAAGAATAATGAACAATATTTCCATTGGGATAATGAACTAATGCGCTAAACAAATAAATAATTTAAATAAACGAAGGATTAAATTTAGGTTTTTTACCTTTGATTTCCAAATCGCTTCTTACAAACCGAACATAAATTTAAATCGTTTATCAAGAAACTTCTATTCAATAATTGCAACCTTATCTCTTGACATTGCAAATTTTCCGAATACAATAACCCTTTCAATAATTGCACCCAACGTCGTTCTTTCGTCTTTCTATGCAACGCAACTTGAACGAATTTGTTTATCCTCGACATCGGTACATTTTTCGGTAAAAATTGTAACGCTTTGAACGGGTCGATTTTTGAAGCGTACCTTTCTAAGTAATCCAACGCTAAATCCATATTTGGTTCGGCCGTTAACGGCGATAAATTTGCGTTTGGTATTGGTAAAGAAGTTTTTTGTTGTGGATTTAATAAGATTTGTAATAAATGCAAATAAACGTCTTTATTCGACGGGTTATCCGGATTATAAACTTGCTCGCAATATTCTTTGGCTTTTTCGATATTCCCTAGAATTCTAATATAAATTAAAAGTGCTTGTTCGTGCCTGCCCAGTTTTCCAAGAAGAATTGCGCGTTCATCTAATAATTCATCAGTTGGAAAACTTGCCAAAACGGTTTCGGCGGTATAATAAGGCGAAGTTTGTAAAAAATCGTGTAATTTTTTTCTTGCGTGTATCGATGAGGTATCATTAGAAATCGCTTTTTCTTTGTAGAAATGTACCAAGGTGTTATGAAATAACGGATTCGTATCGTTCCAATTATGAACTACATGCTCGGCATAAGGAATAACTAAAGACGTGTGGGATCGCATTAAATGGTCTAAAACTCTCGGTCGGGGGAGTTTTTCAACTTCCGTTGCTTCTTCGATAAATATTTTTAATCCTTCTTCCGGTGATTTTTTTAAAACCCAATCAGCAAATTCAAAAATTAATCCCATTAATTCAGGCCCAAGCTTTTGTAAATAATTTATCGTTCTATCAATAGTTCCATCGCTTTGAAGCAGTTCCAAAGCTTTTCTATGTTGACCTTTCGTTTGATACAAAATAATCAATTCGTTGTGTTTACCATGTTTTTTTAAAGTTTTTTCAGTTTCAGCTAAATGACAATAATTTAACCGCAATAAAGGAGCTATTAAAGCATCGTTCGTTTGTAAATAACATTTTAAAAGAGTTGTATCAATTATTTGGAGTAATTGTTGAGTTGATTTTGTTGTTACAGGCTTTTCGTTTAAATTTCCCGATGCGTTTACGTTCGCTTGGACGTTCGCTTGGGTGTTGGGTCTAATCGCGATTAAATAATCGATTAACGCTTGGATTGCTTTTTCATGATCGACGTCGGTTAATTTTTCGTAAGTTTCTGTTCGTTCCGTTGAGGAAGATTGAGGTAAAAGATCCGGATAAAGTCGAATTACTTCGTAAGGGTCACTTTTTAAAGCCAAAAACTCTTTCATACTGTTAAAAAATTCTTTTTTACGAAATAAATCGTACGCTAAAAGGGTGTGGATGTGATTTATTATTTCTTTTTTTTCTTCTTCCGATTCATTTGACGTGTGCTAAAAAAACAATGCAATATACGAATTCGGATATTGGTCGAAATTTTTATCTACAACGCGTTGTGAGTAACTTTAAATGTATTTAGGTTTACTCAATAGCCGAAATTAACGCATTTTGCACATTGTGGACACAAAAAAGTAAGTAGAACGCGTTGTGAGTATTTAATGTTTACTCAAGACACCAAAAAGTAAAAATTCCTGGAAGTTGTATTGATTGAAATTAAGGAATGAGACTTATTCTAAATTAAAGCTCAAAGCTTTCTTTTTAAAATGATGTATAATAATTGTTGGGTTGGATTGGAAAAATATAGAGAAAAAAAATGTTGAAATGAAACTAACATTTTCGTATAACCTAAGAGTGTCAAAAAAGACGCTGATTTAAAAATCTCTGGAAGCCGTATTTATTGAAATTAAGGAATGAAACTTATTTTAAATTAAAGCTCAAAGCTTTCTCTTTAAAATGATGTATAATAATTGTTGGGTTGG